CCGCAGGTGGGTATTGTAGTTGTAAGAATGCTTGATAGAGATCTTGTAGGTCTTTGTCTCTGTCTGAGGGGTTGGAGCAAATGCGGCTGTATCGCAGAGCTTGGCTGTAGACAATGCATCGTGTGGTGTGGTCAGGGTGAAAGCTGGAGGCATGTATGTAGGAATAGCCGTCAGTAGGTTTCCGGTATAGGGTGGTGTTTGTGTGACCATCGTTTATTAGCACTGTAGTGTCCAGGAAATGGATCTCTTGTGACCTACTGACGGCTATTCCTACATACATGCCTCCAGCTTTCACCCTGACCACACCACACGATGCATTGTCTACAGCCAAGCTCTGCGATACAGCCGCATTTGCTCCAACCCCTCAGACAGAGACAAAGACCTACAAGATCTCTATCAAGCATTCTTACAACTACAATACCCACCTGCGGAAGTGAAGGAACAGATTGATAGAGCCAGAAGAGTTCCCAGAAGTCACCTACTACAGGACAGGCCTAACAAAGAAAATAACAGAACGCCACTAGCCGTCACCTTCAGCCCCCAGCTAAAACCCCTCCAACGCATTATTAAGGATCTACAGCCTATCCTGAAGGATGACCCAACACTCTCACAAATCTTGGGAGACAGGCCGGTCCTTGCCTACAGACAGCCCCCCAACCTGAAGCAAATACTCACCAGCAACCACATACCACACAACAGAACCACTAACCCAGGAACCTATCCTTGCAACAAAGCCCGTTGCCAACTGTGCCCACACATCTATTCAGGGGACACCATCACAGGGCTTAATAACATCAGCCACGCTATCAGAGGCTCGTTCACCTGCACATCCACCAATGTGATATATGCCATCATGTGCCAGCAATGCCCCTCTGCCATGTGCATTGGTCAAACTGGACAGTCTCTACGTAAAAGAATAAATGGACACAAATCAGATGTCAAGAATTATAACGTTCATAAACCAGTTGGAGAACACTTCAATCTCTCTGGTCACGCGATTACAGACATGAAAGTTGCAATATTACAACAAAAAAACCTTCAAATCCAGACTCCAGCGAGAGACTGCTAAATTGGAATTCATTTGCAAATTGGATACAATTAACTTAGGCTTGAATAGAGACTGGGAGTGGCTAAGTCATTATGCAAGGTAACCTGTTTCCCCTTGTTTTTTCCTACTCCCCCCAGACGTTCTTGTTAAACCCTGGATTTGTGCTGGAAATGGCTTGATTATCATACACATTGTAAGGAGAATGGTCACTTTAGATAAGTATTACCAGCAGGAGAGTGGGGTGGGGGAGGTATTTTTTCATGCTTTGTGTGTATAAAAGATCTTCTACACTTTCCACAGTATGCAACCGATAAAGTGAGCTGTAGCTCACGAAAGCTTATGCTCAAATAAATTGGTAGAATTTTAAGTTATCTGATATTCACGGGAACAGAGACACAAAGTGAGTGAGGTAATTTTTTTTTTTTTTTTTTAATTTGATCACCTTCTGTTGGGGAGAGACAACTTTTGAGCCACGCAGAACTCTTCTTCAGGTCCTCTTCTTCTACCGTCTCTGCCTCAAAGAATTCTTTCACAACAATGACACCACTCACAATGACCACATCCCCACCAACAATCATAAGAAAAAAAATGATCTGAGTGGGCACCACAGAGCGGATGAAACTGCACTCGTGATCATTACATTGATTGCAAAAATCCTTAACATCACATCCACCGTAATCTCTCCATTACTAAGAGGACACCCATAAAGTCCGTAAAATCTAACCACAAGATAGAGATCAAGCCAGCAGATGAAGGCGGTGCCATGGTAGTCCTCAACCATGAGGTCATTGATGAGGCCAACTGACAACTCTCCAGCACCACCTACTATAAAGAACTGAAAGACGACCCCACACCATGATTTACCCGGGAACTTAGGGATATCTTCAAATCCTTCCCCAAACAACTTCAAGAGAAACTCTACAACTTCATCCCCAGGAACTCACCCCAGGGAGCTTCTACATCCTTTCTAAGATACACAAACAAGGGAATCCAGACAGATCCATCATATCTGGTCACAACACTCTTACTGAAGGAATACTGGGACTCATAAACCATCCTCAAACCACTCAAACAAAAGACCAGCTTCCTCGACACACAGACTTACTCCACAACATTAACAACCGCCCTCAGAACACCATCCTCACCACCATGGATGTCATTTCCCTATGCAACATCCTCACAATGACGGCATAGCTGCCTACCTCAAATATTTACAAGACAATGGACAACCCTTAGATATCCACCCCAAACACATCGCCAAACTCATTCATTCCATCCTCACCCATATCAATTTTACATTCAACAAACAAACACTTTCTCCAAACCATGGGAGCAGCCCTGGGTACTAGGATGGCTCCCCAATATGCCAACCCCTTCACGGGCTACCTTGAAGAAAAATGTCTTGACAAATGTACCACGAAACCGATGACATAAAAATTAAGGATCTTCTCATCTTCTGGACAGATGGCTTAAACTCCCTTATAGATTTCCCACCACGGCTTCAACCACCACCAAATGTCCATTAAACTCTTTCTGGAACACTCCCACATTAGTATCAACTTCCTAAATACCAACCAGCTTCAGCAAGGGAATCCTACAGACAACCACACAAGAAACCCACAGATCACCACACCTACCTTCATAGATCCAATGACCACCCTTAATACACCAAGAAATCCGTTATCTACAGCCAGACACTCAGATACCACAGAATATGCTTGGAGGAGAAAGTCCGGGATATACACCTTAACACACTTAAAACTGCCTTCACCAAACAAGGATTTTCCACCAGAGAAGTAGATTGCATCATGGAATGGGCCACCTAAATACCCAGGAGATAACCTGCTTCAATACAGAAATAAACCCCCTAGTATCGCCTACTACCCCATACTGGAACCCATATGGGGTATCCTACTACAACCCATACTCAGTGGGGATCCCATCCTGAAAGAAATCTCCTGAACCCCTATTCTGGCATTCAAACAACCCCCCAAACTCTCCAAGCTCATCAGAAGCAAGCTCCCCACAGACCACAACATACCAACTCAAAGCGGCACCATCCCCTGCCAGAACAGATGCAATATCTGCAGACATAGGTCCACAGCTAAAAAGATCAACACCCACCCCCCAACATTATCTTTCAAGACCCATGGATCCTACACACGCCTATCACAACATGTGGTATACCTCATCCAGTACACTAAATGCCCCAACCACCACCATGTGGGTGAAATCAATCCGTACACTCTCGAATGAACTCAGACAGGAAAATAAGACAAACACCCTATCACCTGTGGGTGAACACTTTTCACAATGTGATCAATCACTCTATATCTGACCTATCAAAGGAAACCTGCACAAACACTTGCAAAAGATGAGCCTGGGATCTTAAATTCATAACTCTGCTAGACACTAAAAATCATGGACTGAACAAACTGGATTTATGGCTTATTACAACAATCTGTTGTAATAAGCTCACGAAAGCTTATGCTCAAATAAATCGGTTAGTCTCTAAGGTGCCATAAGTACTCCTTTTCTTTTTGCGAACAGACTAACACGGCTGTGACTCTGAAACCTTAAAATTCTGCAGGCTTAATTTATGAACTTGACTAATGCTATCCCAGTTTACAGTAGAAAGTAGCAAGACCACAGATGCAAACTTTCTTCATTAGTGAAACAGCAGGGACCCCCAAAAAAGTACCTAGGGGAAGCACAAGATAAAGTGCCTGTGGCCCAACAAGCTTCCACAGCTCTTTAAATGTCTGCTTCTACAGCTCTTTCGCTCTTTTCCATTCCCATCTCTGTGCTGCTTCCATGCAAGCAGTGACTTTCCAAGAAAGCCCCAAGATGTGCCCGTGCTGTAATCGAGTAACCATTTGATCTTATTACTGCTGTAAACCTTGTCCTCACCCCTTCTCCCCGCTACCCCATCCATTGTTGGCTGCTCCCATCCATTCTGACATCTAAAATTTTGATTTCAAACTTTTGAGGACCAGGGCAATGCATTTGTTCTGTACAGCACCTAGCATGTTTTTGGGTCCTCTGTAAGTGACAGATCACCAGCCTGGTTAAAGGAGAGCTGACCAAATAGGAGAAATTGATCTAACACACTGGCATGAGTCTGGGTGGTGACCTGGAGGATCTCCTCTTTGGCTCTTTTACTTTCTATTTCCGTACACCCTGGATATAAAGTGACCAGAGAGAAGAGAAAATAGTTGCAAAAAATTTTGTGCTACCAGTGTATTAAGGAGCAGCTGAGTCTGTAAAACCAGCCCACTAGTTCTGGTCACTCTGTGTTCTAAACTTTATCTTAACAGCTGGCTGTGAAATGGCCTAGCCTGGAAGGGGAAGTGGTGGCTTTCTTTGAAGTTCTGCCATAGGATGTGCTTTTAAAGCCTTTTGGCTTTTAGCCTCTGAATAGCGATAACACGAACCAACAGTCTAATTACCCTCTGTCTTTTTGGCTTATTTCTGTATTGTTCACTTGGGAACCTTGTCTAGCCATCAGCAGCTGTGGAGAGTCCTCACCTTGTTTTCATGGCAAGGTGCCTTAGTAGGTGTAGGATTTGGGTGAGGATTATGGGGAAAATAAAACACCTTTATCTGAAATATATAAATAGATTTCTGGTAGCTTGGGCTGGAGACCTAAGGGCTGGTGTGATCCCATGTCTCATTCCCCAGTCTGAATTGGATATTTACTTGAAACTCACCCCTGTCTTCCGTAAGTGCCTGGCTTTATTTTTCTTAAAGGTCAGGTGGTAGGGTTTGCCTCTTAAATCTGTATTTATTCCTCAGCATCATTGTCTGGCAGATGAGTCTCTTGTCATAACGCCCACCTTGCATACCTAGAGCGCTCCAAGTTCTCCCTCTCTCCCCTCCCATTGTATTGCACTGTGACTAGACAGCCGGTCTAACCCTTACATTCTGTTCTGATTGTTTTGCTTGGCTACAGGAGGAACAGGTCCCACATCTGATACCGGCTGGGGCTGCATGTTGAGGTGTGGTCAGATGATCTTCGCACAGGCATTGGTCTGCCGGCACTTAGGCAGAGGTAAATCAATGCTTCTTTAAGGGAGGTGTCCAGAGCCAGTCCAAATGATGGTGAACTTGTTAGGGCAACAAAGAGACGGCACAACTTGATAGTGTTGTGGGCTCCATGTAAAGTTTCCCTAGCTCTTCTCACCTGAAGAGCTAGATGATGAAGCAGCCCCAATGGAAACATCCTAGTGAGTTGCACTAGCATCTCTTCCTTCCAAATCAACATCAATAAATCTGTATGGACAATTGGCCAGGGCTGTGCTAGCCAGTAAAAAGTGTTCTTGTAAATTCCTCTGCACCAGTGGAGCAGCTTGCTTTCCCCTTGTACCAGTGGGTGTTTAGAGACAAGATCATGTCATTCTGTGGGGGGGGAACACCCCTAGCATTTGGATTTATTGCTATGGCAGCCTGCAGATATTCTGTTGACTGTTAGACTGTGGTTTTGTTTGCGGAGCTTTTTTAAATTACTGCAAAACCTCTTCCCCATCCCCCAAGATGAGCGGAATGCCATTTCATGTTTGAGACCCCTGAAAGTGCTAGCCAAGAGAGCCCCAAACTTCCCAGATGTGTATGCCTGAAACTTTGATGCTGGTTAAACTTGTTATACAGTAGGCAACTGTAACTTTTATTTTTAACCTTCTGCTGAGATGCCTTGCAGCCTCTCCCTGAATCCCACCTTTCTAGAAGTGACACCCGTAGCCAGCTGATGCTTTGTGATACATGGTCTCTTCTGTGGCTGCTGCTGCTAAAGTTCTGTGGATTGGCAGGAGACACCTTTTGGCACTGGCATCCTGTCCTTCCCAAACCAACTGCCCCACTTCTGCAAATGCCACTTCTGGGCACTAGAAATTCCAATGTTCTTTCATGCTTGCGGGATTTTTGGGGTGCGTGATATTCCCTCTCCTTGGGAGCCAATGCATCCTTACAGAGAAGGGTCAATGCATGTCCTGGAATTGATTTTTACCATGTCTTCAATTCCCACCTCTGAAAAGACCCTTTTACTTGTGTTTAAATGTGGTCCTTTTTTGGGATCTCCACAGGTCCCTAGTAATAAGACTTCTGACTCATAGCCTGAAGGAAGTCCTACTAAGCAGTGACATGCGGAGAAGTATACTAGTAAGTAACCTATTTTTTTTCCCCCCTGCATCTCTTAGATTGGAGGTGGGTGAAAGGGAAGAGGCAGACGGATAATTACTTCAACATACTTAATGCCTTCATTGACAAAAAAGACAGCTACTACTCCGTCCACCAGATAGGTAAGAGGCAGTTGTAGATAGGAGTGTCCTGCCCTGGGCTTCCCTGAATGTTACAGAACAGCAACAGATTCTTCAGGTTTATTTTAGTAGCACAGCAACTTCAGAAGTAATTTACTTGTGAGAGATTGATGTAATAAAAATTTGCTAAGGACTGTGGTAAAGTGTGTCCAGATCAGCTTCTATGTTTTTGTGTTGCTGTGTATGAATGAAAAATATACAGCACTGCTTCCTATGTGGTGTTGCCTAAAACTAAGGCTATTGATTTAAGGGTTGAAGGATTTGTGACATGAAAACCCTTTCAGCCTAATGCCAGTATCCTTATCTCCCTTGTACTTGCCGTCTTGAGACAGGGGAGAATATGACTGTCATGCCCACAGCAGCTACATAGGAATCTTGCAAGCAAAAAGATTGCATCAGGTGGGGGAATGAGTAGGAGGCGCTCATGAACTCCACAAGGATCCTGTCTGAGTGCAAGTGTTCTAAGGATGAAGGAAAAGCAAAGCAAAAATGGCAATGGGCCTGTTTTTGGGAGGAGCGAAGTACCTGCACTCTCGTTAGACAGTGGGAATGGTGGGTGCTCAGCACCTCTGAAAAATCAGGCATTGTTGTTTTAAATAGAATTGCTCCTAAATAGCATTTCCTCTGAGGCATCTGCAGTTCTTAGCCTTTTTAAGAATTCCCTTTGTCTTGTTCCTGAGTCCTGAACCCATCTTGCTTCCAGCAGAGTATGACTGAGACTCCTTTTTGAAGCCTATTAACATGGCTTCTTAATTAACTGGGAGGACCATTGTTATAGTCACATGAAGTGCTATGATCTCTTCACACCCCTGGCAAGATGGCATGATCTGACTCCAAAGCATGTCTAAGGGCTTGTCTACACTTGCAATGCTGCAGTGGTAGTACTGCAGTGTAGACGCTACCTATGCTGACAGGAGGGGTTCTCCTGTCAGTGTATCGTAATCCACTTCCCCGAGAGGCAGGAGCTAGGTTGATGGAAGAATTCTTCTGTTGACGTAGTGCTGTCTACGCTGGGATTAGGTCAGTTTAACTACATCGCTTAGGGGTGTGGATTTTTCACACCCCTGATAGACATGGCTGGGCTTCACCTAACCTTTTAGTGTAGCCCAGACTCAAGCTGTAGCTCTTCCCATAAAATCCTTTTTTGTAACCGATCATGACTAACAACATCAAACTCCAGCAGTAGGACACTAGGGGCTGTGAGAAGGAGCAAGGGGTGGAGGCTGCTGACTAATTTGGTTGTCTACTTGGTGCAGCCCAGATGGGAGTTGGAGAGGGCAAATCGATAGGCCAGTGGTACGGACCAAACACAGTTGCACAAGTGCTCAAGTAAGTGCTGGGCTTTACCTTTTGTTCCTTCTGTGCAATGCAATGGGGTAGTTTTTTACTTTTTGGTGTGCAGTATAAAAGCAATTGTGCTGAATAGTGTGGTGTCCCAACCAAATCAATCCCAGTGGGGCAAAAACTTGAGAGAGGAGATGGAGTTTACCCCTTGCTCCCAGGCTTGGTGGACCAGAAAGACAAGTCAACTCCAATGGAGGACAGTCCTCTAAGAATCTGTCTCTAGGCCTGGCAAGGTATTGGGCTTGCTGCTGGAATCTCTGCTTGTATTGTACAGGACTAGGTGATAAGTTCTCTTCTGGCTTTAATATCTCTGAATCTGTGTTCACATCTGAGGACTGCCTTTGCAGATCTTGACGGCAGTGGCATTCCTTAAGAGTCAAGGACAGAGGCAGTCTCACCATTTGAGTGACTAATGCAGTGGCAGAATAAAGCGTAAACCTTTATTATTTATTTATTTTTCCCACTGTGGTGGTGAGCCCAGGGAGAGAGCTGTGTAGGAGTACCCTGTTACCTTCAGGAATTAGACATAATACTGCACTGTTGTTCAATCACCAGTGTAGGTTAGAGGCATTTTCTCTCCCTACAGCATTTTCCTCACTGCTTTGATTGGATAAGCTGTGAATTCTTGCAGTGAGTTCTACTGAGAGGAGATAGGACTGGCACAAACTGTGAAAGCCAGTCCTATCTTCTCTAATTCAGTATCTCGTTTAATGAAAATTATAGGGGAAATAGTGAAAGTTCTTCTCCGCTAGAACCCTGAGTTTGCTTAGTGCCTTGTAGTTAGTCCTCTATTTACCTCTCTCTCTTTCCTGTAGAAAACTTGCCACTTTTGATACATGGAGCTCATTGGCAGTGCACATAGCCATGGACAACACTGTAGTGATGGAAGAGATCAGTAAGTATAACAGATGCAGTCAAAGTTGTGTGCCTTGGCTGCAGGATGTATGGAAGGAACCAGGAGAGCAATTGCATTATAACACAACTAAACTTCTAGTAAAGGCCCTTTCCAAAACCTCAGCCAGGTGGGTTAGAAACAAAGGGTATGCCTACGCAGCGCAAAAAACCCCACAGCTAGCCTGTACCAGGTGTGCAGGTCTTGGGCTGCTGTACTGATTCATTGCTGTGTAGACTTCTGGGCTTGGACTGGAGCCCAGGCTCTAGGATGCTGCAGAGTGGGAGGGTCCCGAGCTCAGGCCAAGCCTGGAAGTCTACACAGCAATGAGACAGCTCCACAGTTCAAGCCCTGCAAGACCAGGCCAGCTGTGGGTTTTTTTTGCTTTGAAGGTATACCCAAAATGGGAACTACTGCTTTTAGAAGCAAAAAGCAAAGCCTTAGAAGCAATGCTATTGCTCTTATGGTAAAGCCTGGATTGATCTGGCATGTGAATTCTGGCTCTGGAGAGAAAAATAGCTAGCCCCGAGACAATGTTTAGGAGCTACTTGAAGGTTGGTGTTGGCAAATACGTTTGGTGACCACCAGGGCTGGCCTTACCATGAGACGAACTGAGGCGGCCGCCTCAGGTGCCAAACTGTGGGGTGCCACTAGGACCCTGAGTGTAGAAAATTGTATCTGCTGCTGGTGCATATGTATTATCTCTGCTCTAGATGCACAGAGATGGTGAAGTGCTGTGCTGGAGGAAGGAGGGCACAAGACACACAACAGGCAGGAGAAAAGATGAGGGAATAACAGAAAGCAGCAGGAGCTGCAGGGAGAGAAAGGAGGAGGAGCCTCTTATGTACCTCTCTAGCACCCCTAGGAGCCTAGACTGATTAACACCAGCTTCTCAGGGAGCTTCCTGTTTCCTGCTGCTTCCCTGAACCCACTTGAGGAGAACAGGCAGTCAACTGAAGTAGTAGGAGCCAGTTTGGCCTTTAAGACGCTGATATCTTCCCTCACTCAGGCCCTACTACCAGCCTGCTTATTTGTCCCCTTCAATTGAGTGTTCAGAGCCACTATAGCTGGCACAGAACAGCAGACATGAGTGAAAGAAGAAAACCCCTCTCTGGGGCAGCATTCAGAAAAAGAAAGAAAGCAAAGGAAGTTTTCCTATCTAAGCAGGAAGGAGCTCTCCTAAGACACATAGACACAAATGTTCACAGTGAGCGTTCCGGCCCCAGTGAGAATGTGAGCGGTGAGGAGATGCCTGATCTTCCAGTTAGAGTGCAGGTGACCTGGCAGCTTCTGCAGCATCCCTATCTCCATCTCAAATGGATGTAACCATGCACATTCCTGAAGAAAACTGTAGATCAGAGAAGAGTGTGGTGGAGGCGCAAGAAACAGCTGCTGTTGAGTTTAGTTCCTTAAGTCCTAGATGATGCAGGACTGTGGACCCACTTGAGCAGTAGCCTGAGGGACTTCCTTGTACTGCCTGGGCCACAGCAAGTGAAAAACTTCATGTTCCCCAAAGACAATGAAAATAGAAGTTTCCATCCAACACATTACTGGTGTGAAATCCCCAATGGTGACAAAGTGGAGAGGCCATGGCTTATGTACTCAAAAACCCAGAATGCTGCATACTGTGTTTGTTGCAAATTCTTCCAGTCTAATGTTCCAGCCCCATTGGGTTCTATAGGAACAAAGGACTGGAAAAATCTGGCTAGAAATTTGGCATGCCATGAGAAGGCAGCAAATCACCAGAGAGCATTCCATAGGTGAAAAGAGCTTGAGATGAGACTAAGGTTAAAGGCCACCATAGATTGCATCAGTCTCTCTTTACTGGCAAAATGTTCTGAAAAGGCACATTGCCATTGTGAGAGTGCTTGCTACCCAAAATATAGCACTGTGTGGCACTTTCATCAGCTGTATGTGCCAAACAATGGAAACTTCCTTAACATTGTGGAGCTGATGGCTGAGTTTGATGCTGTACTCCAGGAGCATCTAAGACGAGTCACCACCCAAGAAACGTACACACACCACTACCTTGGAAAAACAATTCAAAATGAGATCATACAGTTACTGCAACAAAAGTCAAACAGAAGACTGTGGTAGATCTGAAGTCCTCAAGATATTACTCTGTTGTTCTGAACTGCATACCTGACATCAGCCATACAGAACAAATGAATGGTGTGTTTTGTAACAACAACAACAACTTAGTGAAAATGTTCCTGCAATGGTGATGGTCAGAGCATTTTCTAGAATTTATTGACATTGATACTATAGGAGCTGGTATGGCAAATTGCTTCTTAAAAAGCTGGAAGATACGGGAATTGCGATAGCTGACATGAGAGGTCAGGGTTAGGATAATGGTGCCAACGTGAGAGGAAAGAACAGAGGAGTGCAGACACAGATCCGAGAGTTAAACCCTGAAGCTTTTTTGGTCCCATGCAGTTCTCATTCATTGAACTTGGTGGTCAGCTTCTAGTGAGGCTGCTGAATTTTTTTAATGTAATTCAAAACATCTATGTATTTTTCTCTGCATCAACTCATCGATGACAAATTTTGAAGCAACATCTGGGAACATCCTCTCTGACACTGAAACCACTGAGTGCCACACGATGGGAAAGTCAAGTGGAGGCGATAAAGCCTATCAAACACCAAATTGGGAAGATAGATGATGCCATAGTTGCCATTATGGAGGATAATGCTATGACAGGAACTGTTTGTGGGAGAACAGTGGCAGAGGGAAATGGAATCACCAGAAACATACATAATTTCAAATTTCGGTGTGGCTTAGTGTTGTGGCATGACATACTGTTTGAAATAAATGATGTAAGCAAGAGACTCCAAGGTGTTGACCTTGCTATATCTGGAGCAATGGAACAACTGGACAAAGCAAAGTCATACCTACAGTCTTACCGGTCAGATGAGGGATTTCAAAACGTTCTGAAGAGTGCACAGAACTTGGCAGAGGAACTTCACACTGAAGATATTTTCCCACCCATTCAAGAATACAAGAGTCACTGAAGAAGACATTTTGATTATGATGCATGGGATAATCCCATAAGAGACCCCAAACGACAATTCAAAGCTGAATTCTTTAACCAGGTGCTAGATTGTGCAATACAGTCAGTTTTAAGAATGTTTTGTGTGTGTATATATCTATCTATTTATATAAATATAAAATATGTATAATTTGTATATTTGGGATGTTGTATGATATTCCAAAACTCCTCACTATACCTGAAGACCTACACCCACAATGCAGCGCAATAGAGACAGTGTTGACACATGAAGACATGTGCGATATTGATGCGAGTGATTTAGGTGATGAACTGAAAGCCCTTTCAAGATACATTTCAGCAGGATCAACTCCAAAGGCTGTTCTGGAATATATGTGCACAAATAAGATGACCACCTTCTTTCCAAATGCTTTTGCTGCTCTGCACATACTTCTAACACTTCTTGTAACAGTTGCCAGTGGAGAACGCAGCTTCTCCAAGCTGAAGTTAATAACACATCTACGCTCCACAATGACACAGGAGAGGCTGGTTGGCCTTACAACCATCTCAGTGAGCTAGCCCAGACTGTGGACCTTCAGCAGGAAGCAGTTCAAATCTTTGCAGCAAAGAAGGCATGGAAAGCACCACTTTGATTATTCAAACAGATGAAAAATGCCAGTGTTTACTATGCAGACAAGAAAAGTTACATTTGCTGTTCAAGCGTTCGAAAGTTGTGTTACTTAAATTTTTTGAACAAGGCATTTTAAGTTGTTAGTGCTCCTTTATTGGGGTAGGTAGCAGAGCAGTACCATGAGAGGAGTAGAACAGGAAAAAGGCAAAACTGAGACCTTCCAAAGTTTTGGCCCAAGCGAGGGGGAATGGGGGCGTCATTTCAATGCCCCACCTCAAGTGCCAAAACGTTGTGGGCCGGCCCTGGTGACCATGTTGTTTGTAAATGGTTGTCTGTCTGTTTCTCTTGGAATTGAGAGCTGCAGTGTCTCTACCAAACAGGAAGAAAACAAGAACAAATTTGTTGAGGGGGAGGAAAAAATAAGCAAAATTGCATTGAAAATCCCTTGCCAGGGAGGGAGCAAGGAAAGAGTGAAGGAAATACTGGCTAATAGAGATCTTTTAGAGAGAAATGATTAGCTGTTCCTTTCTGGGATGGCAGAAAGAACTGGATGGCTCAACACTGGTAATCAGCAGTGTTTAATTTGATAGTTCATAGTCCCGGCACCTTTGGGCTTGCTGCATCAGTTATAAATGTAAAAAAAATTGCTTGAGTCCTGGCACCTCTTTCATTACAAATTAAGCACTGGTAATCAGCCTTGGAAACTTTCACCTGTAGATCACTGGTTCAGACCAGCTGTAGGTCAGTAGTGGCTAAAATTGATCAGCCTGTCAGGGCATTGTGGCCCTAGAGTGCAAGTGTTTATATTACAAAAAACCTCTGTCCTTCAACAGTCTCTGCAGAAACGCCAAGGATTTGAGGCCCTGACTCAGCAAAGTATTGAAGCACCTGCTTAACTTTAAGCATGTGAGTAGCCACATGGAAGTTATGTGCCTTAAGTGGCTTGCTATGCCAGGGCCTGAATGGGCATAGAGTCTGAACTAACCTTTCCTCTCTAGAGGTAATGTGTTCAGGCTAGGATTGAGGGACATTGTTAAGAAGGTATGGGGAAGCTGTAACTGTTGCTGCCTGTTGTTTGGGCTTCATTCTGCAGGGCTGTCGGGCTGATGCTTTATAGAAGCAATATATTCCCTAATTTGTAAAACGCTTTTGAAATGCTAATGATTAAATGCTATTCCCAGTCACTTCAATCTGAAGACAGTTAAATAAATCTGTTGATCTGCATTTATTCATATGATTATTATATAACAAACACCTAAAAGATATGCAGACGGTGACACAATTCAGAAGTTAATGGTGTTTTCCACAAATGTAGAAATTAGCAGTTAACATTTGTACTGTACAGCTATTCTTTCCAAAGTGAATAGAAAATGTCTTTTGTTAGAATGGTGAAAAGCATTCATCTATTTTCCTTTCTGAATTAGTCCATTGTATCAAAAAGACCAGGGTGGTGGTGTGCTGTAAAGAGACATTAAGAAACCAGGAGAGTGAAACTAGTGAGAGAGAATTGGCAGATGTCATGGCAGCAAAATCATATTGTCAAATTACTGGAACATGCTCTGAGTAAATCACTTAAACCTAAATCACTGTTAGGAAGTTTCAGTTTAAAGGAGGCTGGGACATAAGGAGCACATGAGATCAAAGATAAAGAATTTCAGATCTATAAATGGGATGAAAGCACAGAATGGTTGGAAATAACTACATCTAGGTAGTGATTTGTAATGCAACAGAGCAAATAGCTGCAATAAGAGTGACATGGTTTTCAGACTGCTGGCAGGAAATTCTTGGAAGGAAAACCAAATAATGCTTCTGAGGATATGGAATAAATCCAAAAAGTTTTACAGGATGGTCAGATCAGTCCACTAACCCAGCGATGGCAAGTGAAAAAATAAATGGACTCAGATAGGAGAAGTACCTTAGAGAAGGGTCTGCAAATAGCCCAAACAAAAAGGTGTACTGCCCAGTCATTCATATCCCTAGTATGACGCAAACAAGTGTCTCCAAATGCTTCCATTCCATCTAGTGCATTTATGCATTGTGAATGCCGTGTCCTTATAGTACCTTCTCTTGGTCCAGTTGGGGTATAGGGTCTGGCAAACAAGTGTCCTGCTTGAACTGAAGATGCCTGGAAGTACTTACACACTGCTGTGCCATACATGGCTGTAGCTTCTTGTTTGGGCCACCTTTTCTGTTTGTTTTGCATTTGTTAATCTGCATCACTTTACCATAAAAAAAAACAAACAAAAACACAGTTTTCTATGGCGCGGTAGTCTTGGCAAGTGAGGCGGTAAGGCCTAGAGAGGTGTAAGTGGGGGTAGGGGTCAGAAACTCCCAGGTAATGGGAAAATCTGTTTGTCACTGAGTTGCTGGGTGGCCTTCAGCAACCTGGTTAAACTTTCTGCCTCAGTTTCCCCATCTGTAAAATGGGGGTACTCAGTGCTCACTTCACAGGTGTGCTGTGAGTATCAGCATTTGTACAGTACTCTAAATGGACAGCTGTTTGTGCTAAGTGTCACTGTTAAAACATGAAGTCACCTTGACATGTGCCTCCCAATTATAATAATGTTTTCCCTCCTCCACTCCCCTTAGGGCTCTTAAAGTAGCTTCTGAATGATCCCTGACTTCACAGCATGCATTGTGTTTTTAGTATCCCTCACATTACCCTCATAGGCAGACTCCACTTGTCAATATCCTCACTGGTATGGTGCAAGCTGGGAGGTCTCATGGAGTGGAAAATTTGGGATTGCTTGGAAGCTATTTTGTGGAACCAGACAACCCAAAAAAGGTATTAAAACTGAAAGCTTTCTTGAAATACCCCTTATCGTAAACAACTCTGCTGCTTGTAAAGACACTGTCATGGTTTATTATAGCTGATGCAGGTGTTTTGTTTTAAGGGACCTTAGTTAACTGAGGTTCCAGAATTTTTGAACACTCCCAACACTTTTGGATACCCTTGGAATTGCCTCTTGGACTCCTTTCACCTGACTTGCCTGAGCTTGGCAAGAATACTTGCCAGAAATCCTGTGTTCTTTGTCTTTGAAGACTAAGTACCGCAATGGATCCTGTAAGACTTAGTGTGACTATTTAGTGCTCCGTTTGTATCTTATTACAGATAAAGACCTCCTGTGTTCAGCCCCAGTGTCCTGACCAAATTACAACTCAAGCACTTACATTCTTTCTACCTAAATTCTCCCTGTGATTTGAATTGCATAGTTCTGCCTCTCCTCACAAGTGTACTGTTTAATGTTGCTGGCACAGGGCAGTTGCTGGTTCCTGCATTGCTGCCCTAAAGATGGCTGCTTTTTAATGGTGCCCCAAGTGATCCCTGTGGGTATGTCTACACAGCAATAAAACACCCATGGCTGGCCTGTGTCAGCTGACTTGGGCTCAGACTGTGGGACTCTAAAATTGCAATGTAGATGTTGGGGCTCTGGAACCCTCCCCGCTCGTGGGGTCCCGGAGTCCTGGCTCCAGCCTGGATATCTGCACTACAATTGTATAGCCCTGCACCCCAAGCCCAAGTCAGCTAACACAAGCCAGCCATGGGTGTTTTATTGATGTGTAGACATACCATGAGTGTTCTAAGTGCTTTGATGTAAAAGGCTTGATGTACGGTATTTCTAAAATAAGTTTTTACCAGAGGGTTCTGGAGTGAATATATAATTCAAGCAAAGCGCTTGCTCTTTAAACCAGCTGCTTATTTAAGTGTCATGTAGCTCTGAGAAATTAGATGGCAGTTTCTGTTGAGCACTGAGGCGGTGGGAGCGGGGGAATTAGGGAGGGGAAGTACTCATCAAGGACTAGAAGCTGTTTGATGCTTTTCCTGAAACCATTTCTGCTTGTGTGTGTGTGTGCTCCCTTTCTGTAGGAAGGTTATGCAAGTCCAATTTCTTGTGTGCTGGTGCTGCAGCATTCCCCGCTGCAGAGTCAGACCTGTTCTATAATGGGTACCCGGATGGAGCAGAGGTTACAGATAGGTTGTCGCTATGGAAACCATTGGTGCTGCTGATACCTCTTCGCCTTGGGCTCACGGATATCAATGAAGCTTATATTGAAACACTAAAGGTAGGGGAATTAGTGCTGTTCGGTATGGCCATGGATGAGCAGACTTCCTGGTGTTTTACTGCTGAGCACCAAGGAATAAGTCTTGATTAGGTCAGGTGTAAAACTGGTTCTGGGGCAAAATGTTCGCAGGTGCTCAAGTTCCAGTTGCAAGAGAGACATTCGCAAAAAGAAAAGGAGTACTTGTGGCACCTTAGAGACTAACCAATTTATTTGAGCATGAGCTTTCGTGAGCTGTAGCTCACAAAAGCTCATGCTCAAATAAATGTGTTAGTCTCTAAGGTGCCACAAGTACTCCTTTTCTTTTTGCGAATACAGACTAACACGGCTGTTACTCTGAAAAGAGAGACATTGGTGTTTATGTGCCTAAGTCTCCTTGACAATCAATGTGACTTAAGAGCCAAAGTGGTTGTCACTCTTAAAGAGATTTAGGTGCTTCTGAGAATTTTACCCAGGGTCTAATCTCAGTCCCTACCTGTGTCTGTACCCAACCCAAGCCACTAGAGCATTCAGCATGACTGCCAGTCTCTGCTTGGCAGCAGCCTGAGCTTTAAGTGCTATGTGCTGCAAGTCCACATTTGGCAAGTCAGAGCTGTGTGTGCTGCAAATCAAATTTAGGTGAGCAGAATTCTGGGATTCCAGACCAGCCTTTGGAGCAGCCGAGGCTGGCAGAGATCAGATTCTGAGGGGCACACGTTGACTTTGTGAAGAAGGTTGCACAGTATCTTGCTCTAACAATGGTGTCAGTCCCTCAGCTGTATGAGTATGGGCACTCTGAATTTAGGGTGGATACATGGTCTGAATTGTGCTTGGATTCAGCAACATGGATGCTAAATTCTCTCATCCATTTCCCAAGAACATTCAGAACAATGTAATTCCCTTGGGAGTGCTATTGCAGATCCATTGACAAATGATTTAGGGTAAAATCCTGACCCTATTGAAGTCAATGGGAGTTCTGTCATTGACTTCGTGGAGTGAGGGTTTTGCTCAGTTGCTTGTGGAATTTGTGACTATAGTGCAGATTGCACCATGCAATGTCCGGAGTTTCATCTCTTCTCCTTCCTCCTCCTGCCCCTTTTTCTTGGTCTACTTCTCCCCCAGGGCTCTAAGGCTTCTCTGAGCCTCTTTCCCTTGAAGTTTACATGTTGCAGCATCCTTCCCTCTTGGCAGAGACCTTCTACCATAAACCGTTGCTTCTGCTGCTGGACTTGCTCACGGTTCAGAAGCCCAGCATGTGCCAGTATCACAGTGATTGCCTTTGAGTTTGATTTCTGATCACTTGCTCTAGTTGCTGCTGCCTGCCAGCTGCTCATGTTCAGTCTTGCTTTCCAGCACTGTTTCATGATGCCTCAGTCCCTGGGAGTGATTGGAGGGAAACCCAACAGTGCTCATTACTTCATTGGCTATGTAGGTGAGTGACTAACCAGCCTAGCTTTGTGCCATGTTAGGGAGGTGTCCAATCTGTCTTGATGTCTGCCCACAGATAGGGGAATGACTGCAGAGCAATGCAGCCCTCCCAAACTTGCCCTCACCTTCCCCAGAGTGGTGTTCCCCCTTTACTTTAGAACAGCTTGAGGGTGCTGTGAGATAAGCCTCCTTGTGAGCGAGGATCTAGGGGTGACTGCAGCCATGGGTATAAGCTCTCTTCCACAAGGAATAGCACTTTAGGGTTTGTGTAACATTCCTTACGTAGAATTAAATTGTAGCAGATGGGTCGCTCTGTCTGACCTTGTCCTAGATCCAGAGCTGACTTCCCTTCATGGGTTTTGTGTAACATGTTTACCCTCTCCTCCCCCTTTTCGTTTGTGAGCACCTGTCTGTTTTCCTCTTCCTTCTGTTCTCCAAATCATGAGCCGATTATGAAAGGACAAAGGCTGTGTTAGTGGCATGCATGCATGCACACACGCACTCACTCACTCATGCACAAGGTGCTCATCTGGTGTGACATACCCTGTTAATTTCTCCTCTATTTGTCCAGGTGAGGAGCTAATTTACTTGGACCCCCACACTACACAGCCTGCAGTGGAACCCAGTGATAACAGCTGTATCCCTGATGAGAGCTTCCACTGCCAGCACCCGCCCTGCCGAATGAGCATTGCTGAACTCGACCCATCCATCGCAGTGGTGTGTACCTGTGACTTATTTCTGTCCCAGCTGTTGAGAGCTTGACCCTGTCTTTGCAGTTGTGCCACTGTTAGCAGCTGGAACAGTCTTTTTCAGCCTTCCCTTCTTTTCTGGCTGTTTCCTCTCCCTACAAGTCTGCAGATGCTATTTACTTGCCAGTCCTATTGGCAAACGCTTTGATACCCTGCCTTAAGTTATAACTTTGGTCAAAAACAACTCTCCTGCATGAAACAATTCAGTAGTGGGGAAAACTCCCTTACACTGCTACATCTACACAGTGACTAATTGCTAAGGGTCTGTCATGCAGTGTGGCAAGTGCTACAGGCAACTCTGAAATAAAGTGAATGCATTGATAAGGCCATTGTGGAGAAACTAAATGAATTCTTTGCATCGGTCTTCACTGTTGAGGATGTGAGGGAGATTCCCAAACCTGAGCCATTCTTTTTGGGTGACAGATCTGAGGCACTGTCCCAGACTGAGGTATCATTAGAGGAGGTTTTGGAACAAATTGATAAACTAAACAGTAATAAATCTCCAGGACCGGATGGTATCCACCCAAGAGTTCTGAAGGAATTCCAATGTGAAATTGCAGGACTACTAACTGTCATCTGTAACCTATCATTTAAATCCGCTTCTGTACCAGATAACTGGAGGATAGCTAATGTGACTCCAATTTTTAAAAAGGGCTCCAGGGGTGACCCCAGCAACTACTGGGGAATAGTCAACATGGTTTTTGTAAAGGGAAATCGTGCCTCATCAATCTACTAGAATTCTTTGAGGGGGTCAATAAGCATGCAGACAAAGGAGATCCAGTGGATATAGTGTATTTAGATTTTCAGCAAGCCTTAGACAAGGTCCCTTACCAAAGGCTATTAAGCAAAATAAGCAGTCATGGGATAAAGAGGGAAGGTTCTCTCATGGATTGGTAACTGGTTGAAAGATAGGAAACAAAGGGTAGGAATAAATGGTCAGTTTTCAGAATGGAGAGGGGTAAATAGTGGTGCCCCCCAGGGATCTGTACTGGGTCCAGTCCTATTTAACATATTCATAAACAATCTGGAAAAAGGGGTAAACAGTGAGGTGGCAAAATTTGCAGATGATCCAACACTACTCAAGACAGTTAAGTCCCAGGCAGACAGCGAAGAGCTACAAAAGGATCTTGCAAAATTGGGTGACTGGGCAACAAAATGGCAGATGAAATTTAATGTTGATAAATGCGAAGTAATGCACATTGGAAAACATAATCCTAACTATACATATACAATGATGGGGTCTAAATTAGCTGTTACCACTCAAGAAAGAGATCTTGGAGTCATTGTGGATAGTTCTCTGAAATCATCCACTCAATGTGCAGCGGTAGTCAAAAAAGCAAACAATATTGGGAATAGTCGAGAAAGGGATAGATAAGAGAGAAAATATATTGCCTCTATATAAATCCATGGTACGCCCACACCTTGAATACTGTGTGCAGATGTGGTCGCCCCAGCTCAAAAAAGATATAATTGGGATTGGAAAAGATTCAGAAAAGGGCAACAAAAATCATTAGGGGTATAGAACGGTTTCCGTATGAGGAGAGATTGATAAGACTGGGACTTTTCAGCTTGGAAAAGAGGCAACTAAGGCAGGATATGATAGAGGTTATAAAATCATAAATGGTATAGAGAAAGTAAATAAGAAAAAGTGTTATTTACTCCTCATAATACAAGAACAAGGGGCCACCAAATGAAATTAAAAGGTAGCTGGTTTAAACCAAACACAAAAAAGTATTTTTTCACACAACACACTGTCAACTTCTGGAACTCCTTGCCAGAGGGTGTTGTGAAGGTCAGTAGTATTAACGGGGTTCAAAAGGGAGCTTCATGATAGATTCATGGAAGATAGGTCCATCGATGGCTATTAGCCAGGATGGGCGGGAATGGTGTCCCTAGCCTCTGATTTCCAGAAGCTGGGATTTGGTGACAAGGCATGGATCACTTGATAATAACCTGTCTGTTCATTCCTTTTGGGGAACCTGCCATTGGCCACTGTCAGAGGACTGGATACTGGGCTTGATGGACCTTTGGTCTGACCCAGTATGGCCGTTCTTGTGTTCTTATGGAGATCATAACAGTCCCAGCATTCACTCCAGCCCAAGGGTATAGTAAAGGGTACCTAGAGAAAAGTTGCCTCTTCTGTACCCCTGACTTTATCTTCATGCAGTTGTACTTACAATTGCCTTTCTGACAGAAGCCTAATAACTCCTAGGTTCTGCCATCTCTGAATTGCAGTCTGGATTTTCATCCTGCCTTATGGTGAAGTAGATGACCCAAGCATAGGCGCCGACTTCGTGGGTGTTCCTCTCATCAGCTCCTGTGCCGCCCGCCCGCCAGCAGCCCCGCTGATCGGCACCTCCCCCTCCCTCCCGGCACCTCCTGCCACTGCAGTTCAGCTGTTCTGTGGCATGCAGGAAATGCTGGGGGGAGGAAGAGAAGCAAGGGTGGGGCATGCTCAGAGGAGAGAAGAGGCAGGGTGGAGCGGGGATGGGAAGGGGGGGGGGCTTGTGGGAAGGGGTGGAGTGGGGGCAGAACCATTGGAAAGTTGGCACCTCTGGACCCACGTGCAGTTGTGACACTCTGTTTTCAGATTTGAAATATCTGAACTGTGTCCAATTGAGCTGGCTCTGTCCCCATATCACTTCCATCATAGAAGATTACGGTTGGAAGAGACCTCAGGAGGTCATCTAGTTCAACCCCCTGCTCAAAGCAGGATCATCCCAGCCAGGGCTTTTTCAAGCCGGGCCTTAAAAACCTCTAAGGAAGGAGGTTTCACCACCCTCCTAGTGAAATAGTTTTTCCTAATATCCAACCTAGACCTTCCCCACTGCAACTTGAGACCATTGCTCCTTGTTCTGTCACTGCCACCACTGAGAACAGCCTACCTCCATCCTCTTTGGAACACCCCTTTCAGGTAGTTGAAGGCTGCTATCAAATTCCCCCTCAGTCTTCTCTTCTGGAGACTAAATAAGCCCCGTTCCCTCAGCCTCTCCATACAAGTCATGTGCCCCACTTGAGACCATAGTCAGTGTTTCCAGCATTGGAAGAGACTGGCCTGAGTAAGTCAATGAGAAGTAGCCAGTTTTGCTACATCTGAATTGCAGTTTAAAGTCAGGTAGCTTGAACTACAAAAAACATTCTCAAATTTTTGGCTCTGTCACTACATGAAAAACAAACATTTTTATTGGCATAGCTGACGTTCAGAATGTATATTTCATATAATTGCTTCGCATTACTCTGTGAGGCTTTGATAGACACTATCCACAAATTTTGTTTTTATTATAAGCTAATAAAGATTGTACAACATTTCTTTTTAGGGCTTTTTCTGCAACACAGAGGAAGACTTTAATGACTGGTGCCAGGAAATCAAAAAGGTTTGTGTTCAGCCATGTCACTGGTAAAGGGCATTGTCTACATTATTTTCTAACTTCTGCAAATGCATCCAGCACACTCTGCAGGGTGACAACCTTTTAAAGAGTACACAACTAGTTTAATAATTAAAACCAAAAAATTCAGTCCCCCACATTTAACTAGCAAACGCCTGAGAGGTGATCTTCTATGCCTTGCCTTGAAGGCCAGCAGATTGGCACCGTCTGACCAGTGTGGGGGGACTAGCTCAGTTATGATCTCTAAGCACCCTTACAACCATTAATGTGTGAAGCTCTGCAAGGTTGAAAATAGGAGTTATCACTTCAAAAAGTTATAATCACTTTTAGAAAAATTAGGCAGGTCTGTGAGTGAGATTCGTAACTTGCCCAGGGCATCACAGGAAGTCTGCCAGAGACTGGGAAAGACTCCTGGTCTCCTCAGTCAGTCCCCACAGCAGCAGTTTATCAAAGTAGCAATGAGAAAAGGAATTGAAGTGCACCACAACCTTCTGAAACTGCATAAGGAATTTGGGGTGAGCAAAACAGAATTACCCAGCTTGGAAATGTCGGACAATGAGGCTAACACCCCTGCTAAAACAGGGCACTGTGGGATCTCTGTGGAACACAAGGAACACCCTTGGTTTATTCCTTGGACGTATGTGGGGAAGGGGGTAGATGGGAGTCTCAGGTCTGTACAGTAACCATGCCCCATCCTTACCTAATTTGAGATCTGGTGGCTTTGACAGTCCCAGGTGGTAGAGATACAGTTAAGCTGTGGTTTAGTTAGTTTGGGGCTTAGAAGCTGAACCCTCAGAACTAATAACTCATTTAGCTTGAAGAACAAATAACTCCCTGATGATGTCTTCAGTATTTCCCAAGGCAAGCCCTACTATTTGCTCTGGATGCTGTGAGGCTCTAGTTCCTCTTCTTGGTGCTTGTGTGTATTCTGCTCTCAATCTTCACACCAGAAATCTCTATCCATGAATTCCCTTTAAAATAAGTACTCTGCTGTACTGCTCTTCCAGGACCTTTCCTTACCAACTGGGAGGAAGGCCAAAGGAATTATAGATCCTCTTTGCCATCCCTTGCTGTCGAGTGATAGAAACCAGCTAGCTGAATGCTCCCTTCCAGAAAAGGCAGGGGTTTAAAGGTAGAGAAGAGGAACATATTAGTCAGACTTTCTGTCAGATTCTTCACGTTTCTTCCAGCTCCTGAGTGAAGAGGCTGTCACTACTACCCTTGATTGGTGATGTGTTTGTGCTAACAGGCTGGCTTCTGTGTTCACTCCACAGCTGTCCCTGCTAAAAGGAGTTCTGCCAATGTTTGAACTGGTAGAACATCAGCCTTCACACTTCTCCAGCCCTGATGTTCTGAATCTCACACCAGGTAAGGCCCAGCCATCTGGTCGTTTTTGGTAGAAAACCCCTGGGGTGGGCTTATCTCTTCAGCTTCCTTGGAAGCTTGCATGGTTCTTCCTGTTGGAACTGCATGATGACTTTTGGCTCTTTGCTTCCCTGAAGCCTAGAGAATGATTTGGCACTCTAGAAATAGAAACGGCCTTGAAAGAATGACTTCTTATTGATTTCTTCCCCTTTGTGCTAACAGGGCTGTGGTGGGTAATTGGCACATGCACAGGAGAAACAACTGCCACGCAATTCCCCTGCCGCCAGTCCCTGTGTGTGTTTAATAATAGGCATGGACATTGCAGAAGCATTTAACAACTTCTTTGAGTGGTGTCCCTCTGGGTGCTCCACTGTAGGCGTGCATGTGCCCTTGCACTGCTGATCAGAGAATTTCAATAACAGTTTGTCCCGTCTGTGCATGTGTGGCTCCCAGCCTGCCTTGTAGCTAGTCAGCATGCATGGGCATTTCTTCCTCAGTTCCTTCTCAATGGCCCTAAGCTAGAGACCAGCTTAGAGGTGTCTGTTCACAAATTAACTCCTGATAGTTTTGCAAATTTCTTTGTTTCTTGAAGCCCCTTTCTTTTAATATTTGTTTTAGCTGGCCATGCCAAAAAAAGGAAAAGGGGGGGGGGGGAGGGGAGGAAAGAAAACTATGCCTCCTGCCAACCTGGGTGGGGCGGAAATCCCCCTGGACAAAGGTGTGCCTGGCTCCCTAGGCTTCAAAAAGCGTCTGAGCTTTAAAGACTCCGTCCCGGTAATGGACAGACACTTGCAGTGTGTTCGCTGCCTTGGGGAAAAGCACAATCCACAAAAGTGTGGCTGGTGCCAGCAGCTAAAACCCAGGTCTAGAAAGGACAGAGTTAAGGCTAAAACTCCTGCTCGTAGAATCAGTCCTTCAATCTCTGAAGTCCTGGAGTGAAGGATCACCGCAACCTTCTATGTCGAAGGCAGGTGATCTTAAGGAATTTACGCACTCATGAAAGACTGGTAAGAAGAGGTCTGTGAGTCCACATAGCGAGCCCAGATCAAGCTGGAAACGTTCTCTGGCTCCATCTGTACCTTCGGTACCGATGGTGTTGAAGCCAGGGCACACACAGTACTGACCCAACAGGCATGGGCAGAGAGATACCGGTACCATGAGGGCGAGACAAACATAGTCGATCTGCCCCGGTGAAGGATACGTCAAGGAGAGCACCGGTATTGATGCTGGTGTGCGTGGCACAAAAGGACCATATAGCCAGGTCTACATCTCCAACTCCTTTGGTGCAGGCTCCTTGGCACTGGCAGCCTTCAGCACTGATATTGTCCGTACTGGTACTACAAGTGCACACTGGACCTCTCTCTGAATCCAAGTGTGATAGGTTCAGTCACAGGGATCCCCTTGGGACTGTCACATGGTGTGCTGAGATTACTTCTGGGCCCATTTTCCCTGCCAGCTTGGAACTCCAGAACCCTGCCTTGTTGAGCCAGACACACTAGCGTGCTGCAACACAGACCCAGGTCTGGTCCACACCCCCAAAGCTGCAGACTTTAACTAAAAACTGCTCAGCAGGTTACTTGCCTCCAGCACCCAGACTCCCAGCTCCCATGGGATCCAAACCCCAAATAAATTCATTTTACTGTTGTATAAAGATTATACAGGGTAAACTCATAAATTGTCCACCCTCTATAACACTGATAGAGAGATGCACAGCTGTTTGCTCCCCAGGTATTAATCACTTACTTATTAATAAACAAAAGTGATTTTATTAAGTATAAAAAGTAGGATTTAAGTGGTTTCAAGTAATAACAGACAACAAAGTAAGTCACAAAGTAAAATAAGATACACAAGACTAAGCTTAATACCTTAAGAAACTGAATATAAGTAATACCTTACCCTCAGATGTTTCAATAAGCTTCTTTCAAAGACTAGACTCCTTCCTAGTCTAGGCCTAATCCTTTCCCCTGGTACAGTTCTTGTTAGTTCCAGCAGACCTCTTAGGTGGAAAACAGGGGCTTTGTAATAACTGCCCTCCTTTGTTCTGCTCCACTCCCTTTTATAGCTTTGGCACAAGGCAGGAGTCTTTTTTTCTCTCTGGGTCCCCACCCCTCCTTCTAAATGGAAAAGTACCAGATTTAAGATGGATTCCATTATCAGGTGACATGGTCATATGTCCCTGTGAGACCTCATTCTTAATTACCCACGGACTGGCCCACATGTACACAGGAAGGCTTGCAGGTAAATAAACCATTTACAACCAATTATCCTAATCAATGGGAGCCATCAAGATTCTAAACCACAATTAATGGCCCACACTTTGCATAGTTACAATAGGACCTCAGAGTTATACTTCATATTTCTAGCTTCAGATACAAGAATGATACATGCATACAAACAGGATGAACACACTCAATAGATTATAAGCTTTATAATGATGCCTTACAAGAGACCTTTTGCATAAAACATATTTCAGTTACATCCTATTCACATTCATAAGCATATTTTCATAAAGCATATGGAGAGCAATGTTACACCAATGCACCGGACTTGCCCCTTCTCACACTGGGACTCTGGTACCAACCTCGTCAGGAGCAGTGGATGTAATGGTGTCTCCATGCCATGCGCTGCCTCTTTCCCATTCCTACTCAGATAGCGAGCCAGGAGGAACTAGGTTCTCATCGGTCATCTTACCCACCATACAGACCCCAATCCCATCAAGAGTACCGGGGTACCACCCAGCCCTCAACCTCCCTGGTATGGGCAACCGTGGACCCAGCCACCGGCTCCCTACCCACAGTGTCCTTACTGGGACCTCGGGCTGCCCCAGCGTGTAATTTACCAGCAGGCAGAGAGATATCCCCCTTCAGTGTCAACATCAAGGGCACCAGACCTGCCGGAATTTTTGGAAGAATGGGAAATGGAGGCAGAAAAGGAAGAGGCCCCTCAAACTTACCTCTCATCATCCTCACCTGATGAGGCAGTGATGCCTCCCCCGCCATCTCTGGCGGATGACTTTAGGTCGTTCTGGGACCTAATTCAAAAAGTGGCTGAGACCCTGCAAGTGTAACTACATGCAACTTCATCACAAGCTGGTGGACATTCTTCAACCTCTGCCAGAGTAGCCCTCCCAGTTAACAAGGTGCTCCTAGACCCCAATAAGGTCATATGGCAGGCCCTGGCATCCATCCCACTGACGTGTAAGCAGGTGGACAAAAAGTACTATGTGCCTGCAAAGGGCACCGATTTTCTATTCACCCGTTTGACTCCGAATTCCATCATAGTGGACATGGTCAATTCAAGGGGTCATCAATACCAATTTAAATCTACCCCATATGACCGAGATGGGAAATGTTTGGACTTTTTTGGCAGAAAAGCCTATTCAGCCACCCTCCAATTTCTAGTAGCTAACTATCAGGCCCTAGTGGTCAGATATGATTATCAAAACTATACAAAATTAAACTTCTTTATTGAGCAGCTTCCAGATAGATATAAAGACCATAGAATAACAGAGTTGGAAGGGACCTCTGGAGGCCATCTAGTCCAACCCCCTGCCCAGAGCAGGACCAATCCCAACTAAATCATCCCAGCCAAGGCTTTGTCAAGCCTGACCTTAAAAACCCCTAAGGAAGGGGATTCCACCACCTCCCTAGGTAACGCATTCCAGTGTTTCACCACCCTCCCAGTGAAAAAGTTTTTCCTAATATCCAACCTTAACCTCCCCCACTGCAACTTGAGACCATTACTCCTTGTCCTGTCATCTGCTATCACTGAGAACAGTCTAGATCCATCCTCTTTGGATCCACCTTTCAGGTAGTTAAAAGCAGCTATCAAATCCCCCCTCATTCTTCTCTTCCGTAGACTAAACAATCCCAGTTCCCTCAGCCTCTCCTCATAATTCATGTGTTCCAGTCCCCTAATCATTTTTCAGAGGAACAGCCGTGTTAGTCTGTATTCGCAAAAAGAAAAGGAGTACTTGTGGCACCTTAGAGACTAACCAATTTATTTGAGCATGAGCTTTCGTGAGCTACAGCTCACTTCATCAGATGTTTACCGTGGAAACTGCAGCAGACTTTATATACACACAGAAATCATTTTTGTTGCCCTTCACTGGACTCTCTCCAATTTTTCCACATCCTTCTTGTAGTGTGGGGCCCAAAACTGGACACAGTACTCCAGATGAGGCCTCACCAATGTCGAATAGAGGGGAACAATCACATCCCTAGATCTGCTGGCAATGCCCTTACTTATACACCCCAAAATGCCATTGGCCTCCTTGGCAACAAGGGCACACTGTCGACTCATATCCAGCTTCTCGTCCACTGTCACCCCTAGGTCCTTCTCTGCAGAACTGCTGCCTAGCCATTCGGTCCCTAGTCTGTAGCGGTGCATTGGATTCTTCCATCCTAAGTGCAGGACTCTGCACTTGTCCTTGTTGAACCTCATCAGATTTCTTTTGGCCCAATCCTCCAATTTGTCTAGGTCCCTCTGTATTCTATCCCTACCCTCCAGTGTATCTACCACTCCTCCCAGTTTAGTGTCATCCGCAAACTTGCTGAGGGTGCAATCCACACCATCCTCCAGATCATTAATGAAGATATTGAACAAAACCGGCCCCAGGACCGACCCTTGGGGCACTCCGCTAGATACCGGCTGCCAACTAGACATGGAGCCATTGATCACTGCCCGTTGAGCCCGACAATCTAGTCAACTCTCTGCCCACCTTGTAGTGCATCCATCCAGCCCATGCTTCTTTAACCAATTCTTGGCCATCATTAAGGAAGACCAGCTAGTTGCAAAAACGTCTCTAGCGCACATCGGATGCGGCCAACTTGGCAGCGTGCTCTATCTCCATGGTGGTGGTTATGAGGAGGGCGTCTTGGCTCCATTTGTCTGGCTTTGGCCAACACTCCAGGGAGACATGCTCCTCCTCCTGTGGAACAAGAGCTTTCTTTACATCTTTCCTCCATTCCCTGTATTATTAAAGGTGCTGCTGAAGATAAAAAGGGAAAAACCAAATATTCTGATTGATCCTACCAGACCCAGACAGACATGATTCCCTTGCCTGTCCCAGCTGGCATGATGTCCTCCGGTGACCCTACCAATCACCCCATGCTGTCTGTCACAAAACAGGGGTCACATCCTTCACCCTAATCCATGGATCCTACATCTCAAAGCATGGCTTCTTCATGGTTCCGGTACATAAAAGCATCTTGCTCAGAGGAGGTGCAGGAGGTAGTACTGGATGTAGAAAGGGTTCTACTAGTTCACCTACCTGCAGAAATGGAAGAGATTCCAGATATGGTGCCAGTCCAAGTCCTAATTCAGCCACCTTGCCAGTGATCCTGGACTATCTGTTATCCTTACAGAAGTCGGGTCTTTCTACTGGCTTGCTGAAGGTTCACTTGGCAGTAACTGCTACCTTCCAGCAAATAGATGCTACTCAATCTTCTCTCACCCAACTATGAAAAGATTTCTGAAAGGTATAGCAAACCTTTTCCCACAACCCAGGACCCCTACTCCCTAATGAGACCTCGCCTAGTGCTAAAGGACTGACTAGACTGCCATTCGAACCCAGGCCACTTGTTCGTTAACTCACCTTTCCATGAAGATGGCGTTCCTCATCACCATCACTTATGCCAGAAGGATAGGGGAGATACCAGCTTTGATGGCACATCCCCCATTTACAGTGTTCTTCCCGGACAAGGTCACACTCAGAACACACCCGAAATTCACTCCCCAAATAACTTCTGCATTTCACATGTATCAACTCTTTCAACTCCCAATATTCTATCCAAAACCTCATATGGACAATAGGGAGGCCATCCTCCATATACTCTGGGAGAAGAGCTTTGGCCTTCTATTTAGGCAGGGCAAAGGCCTTCTGAAAAACTCCAAGACTCTCTTCCTTTCCGTTATGGATAAATCAAAGGTGCGGCGATGTCTGCTCAGACATTGTCCAAATGGGTCTCTAGCTTTATTAGATTCTGCCACCAATTGTGTTGGGGGGGGGGGGGGGAAGGGAGGGTGTAACCCTCCCCCATCTTCGGTAGCCACACATTCCACAAGGGCAGTCTCCTCGTTGATCGCCTTCTCTAAGGGTATCCCCATATCCGAGAGATGCAGGGCAGCTACACAGACCTCTGCGCATACCTTTGCAGAACAATATGCCATTCTGAGTGATTCAGCTTCAGACGCCCAATTCAGGGCCACTGTTCTATCATCTGTATCAGACTTGACTCTAAAGTCCCAGCCTCCTGCGGTGGGTACTGCTTGGGAGTCACCTAGTGTGGAGCACCCATAGGGATGCTACTTGAAGACTAAGGTACTCATCTTGTGCAGTAACAATGGTTCAAGATGTGTCCCCCTATTGGTGCTCCATGACTGACCCTCTGACGGTTTATTTTGCCGTTCTCTATATGGCTCTGCGGTAGAGAAGGAATTGAGAGGGAAATGCCCATGCACACTGACTAGACTCATGGCAGGTGGGGAGCCGCGTGTGCAGGACAGACTGCTATTGAAATTCTCTGAAGAGCAGTGCAGGGATGCAGACGTACCTATAGTGGAACACCCACAGGGGGACACATCTCAAAGAACCATTGTTACTGCACAAGGTGAGTAACTTCTTCTGCCAAGAGGAGTATCTGTGGACAAACATGTCTGTAGTTACCAGGAACTGGATGTGTCTTGTCATTTGTACCCTGTGCTCTTATCTATTTCTCTCTGCTGTGACACTCAGTTCTGTCACTGCCTTTCTCACAGCCTCCCTTAGCTCGCACTGTTCATTCCTCCTTCAAGAAAGCTTTTCCTTTCCCTTATTTTTAATCCTTCTCGGTTCAAATTTTCCCTATTTCCCATCTCTTGTTCCTCCCTAATATGTTGGAATGGGCTGCTCACCTTCAGTTCTCCCTCCCCTTACCAATCCATTATTTTTTTCTGCTCATCTTATTGCCATGGCCCTCACTAGAATTACTGATTTGCTTGTGATTTAATTCAGTCTCACTTTGGTCTTACTGCAATCGTTGTCCTCCTTGAGATATTGGCTGCTTTTTCCCTTATTGCCTCAGTTGAGAGTACTTCCCTTTGGGTATCTTCTGTATTGATACATCCATGCTCTTGGTGCACATGTGGGCTCTCAATCTAGTTGGAACACTGTGGAAAGCAGTAACCATTGGGCTATCCAACTGAATGTGTCACAACCCAGAGCCCCACCACTTCTTAGTTGACTAGTGTCCTCTGTTCCTGCTGTGCAGTCAGCATTTCACTAGCTGTTGGTTACTCTGGTGAAACCTAAAACACATATTCTTGTTGCTTTAGATAGTGTTGGTCTCTATAAGGTCCACTCTGTTCCACTTCTCTCCCCTCTCTGAGTTTTCCCCTATGCTCAGCTCCAAATTTGGAGGGTTCAGTTGGCATGCCTGCTGTAATGGTAAAACTGACATAGACCAACACACACACGCTGCCTTCAGTGCTTCTGTGCTGGGCATTCACTAATGCCTGCTCCATCAGCGTGGCCTGCACTCTTCAAATCAGTAGAGAACATGACTCTGCATCAGTTGCAGCTCCCTGATAGAGCTGGCCTCAGCTGAGTCAGTAACATCTGTGGTGTGGTGTTGCCCTTTCCTCGTGTTCTGGGTCAAAGGCATTAATCAAAGGAAATCTTTTTCGTCAACTCATGTTGGGATGTGTGACATCTCCTAATACTAGGGACAGAGGATTGAGTATAGTCCATATAAAGCCTCAAGACAGCACTGGTCTACTCTTTCCAAAGATATAGTTGAATCCAGCCTCTCTTTAATCAGAACTCTCTCTATATTATGTACAGCATATATATTTATGGGTGTATAGAGTCTATACATTTGACACTTCTACATACAGCCACCAGATGTTACAGCACAAGGTTGTGCCATATTAAGGCTATTAGATACAAACTGTCCAGCGCTGAGGAACATACCATTTAGGGATAGCTAATATATTCTGTGCCACACATACTGTAGGTGTAATGTGGATTGTCCATTGTTACTTGCTATTAAAGCATGCCCCGTCCTCTTCTTCAGTCATGCCCCCTGCTTCGTATGCTTGACACCCATAATTTCCCCCTCATACAGCTTGGGCTGGTGAGTGGCTTTAGTGTAAATCTGTTTTAAGCAATGGGCACATTAAACAGAGGTCGTTTTGTCTCTTGTCTTTCAGACTCTTCTGATGCAGACAGGTTGGAAAGATTCTTTGACTCAGAGGATGAAGACTTTGAAATTTTATCTCTTTGAAAATAGATAGGAAACTGACTGCACATCTATGTTTGGGGGTGGGGGGTGAAAAGTTCCTTCAAGCACCTGGGCCCTTACTGGTTTTCATAGGTGCTTGCTGATATCCCTGCCTCCCATCCATCCTAGCATTCTGTGCAGTCTGAAGCACAGTGTGCACTCTCTGCATTGGGATCAAGAAACAAGTCATCATTAAGGCTTCAGTGACCAGAGTCAGGATTTCTCAGTGCAAAACACATGCAAGAAGTGGATGCAGTGGTGCCTAGGAGTTCAGAGTTTTGTTTGTTACAGCAACAGCTCAACTGGCCCTCTAGGAATAACAGCAGAAACCCCATATGGAGCTAGACCCTTATGAGTACTTCCTAGTGATTAATAAGCGCTATTCCTCTTTTGAGAGGCAAAACCTATACTGGTAGTTCCTTCCACAGCTTTCCTGCTTATGGCTGACTTGGGCTAAACTTAGATTTATGGAAAGCAATGTAAATTAATACCAGGCATGTCCCATACAGAGGCTCCAGCCCAGTAGTATGTGAGCTAGTCACCTGGACGGTCATGTTTTCCTTAGTAATAGGCCACACGTTGCTGATGATGCTTAATAGTAGTTGCAGTGGTTTCTCACAAACACAGTGCTGCCTGTCTTCTCACCATACCCAGAAGCTGCCTGCTCTAATAAAGGGCAACCTTCTCTCAGAGGTGAAAGCACTTCCTTGATGTGGAAAACCTCATGGTAATGTCCAAGGTCTAAAGATGACAACCAAAAGGGGAGGAGAATCCCAGTTTAAATAAAAGGAATCTCACTGGATGAGTCCTCAAATCACCAAGGCTGTGAAAAAGATGGATTGACAACTCTAGCAGTGAGGTGTCTTCATTAAAGTATTTGTTTAGAGAACCAGACAGTCCTGTGAGAGGTTGACATGTTTTTAAATCTTAAGAGCCTGATGTTGCTTTTGGTTTTTGGTGCCACAAGCACTAAACAGAAAAGGAGTACTTGTGGCACCTTAGAGACTAACCAATTTATTTGAGCATAAGCTTTCGTGAGCTACAGCTCATTTCATCAGATGTAGTTCACGAAAGCTTATGCTCAAATACATTGGTTAGTCTCTAAGGTGCCACAAGTACTCATTTTCTTTTTGCAAATACAGACTAACACGGCTGTTACTCTGAAAGCGCCAAGCAGTTTTTGGTGCCACAAAGCATCCTATGTAGTGTGGTCACTCCTCCTCGGTTGATTGAATAGTTCCAGGTACTATTCCAATTGGACTCCCTGCATTCAAAATGATGTACAAGGGGGCTTGAAATTTAATTAGACATAGAATATATTTCTTAGCTGATTGGTACCATTTCACATGCTATTCTGCAACTTCCCTTTATGATGATTTAGTTGGGGATTGGTCCTGGTTTGAGCAGGAGGTTGGACTAGATGACCTCCTGAGGTCCCTTCCAACCCTGATATTCTATGGTCCTTCTAGCACTGTGTGGCAAATGCATACTGTAGAAGCTAGGCCAAAGAAACCCATTTTAAGTGATCATCTGAAGATGTCAGGAAAAAAAATGGTTGCCTAGAAAAGTTGATAGTTAAACATCAAACACCCTTGAACTAAAAACCTTGGAGTTACTTTAACTTTACAGGAGCTTGCCTGTGGCCCATAATATCTATTTAGTAAAAATGAGAGCTGGATTGAAAACAGATGCATAGGAGAACTGAGTCCTGATGTGAGCCACCATAGAAGCTACTCAAGTCTTCTCCGTTCTCCAGGGCTGCTGCAGGTGGCAAATCCATGTTTGCAATGCATTTTCCTGCATTTGGGAACAGCACTTGTCAGTTGATGCTTTTGTACCCAGAAGGTACATAAACTGGCCATAAATGCTGTCCTCCATGACAAGGCTGACTGACCTATTGATGTTAATCTTATTATCTGCCCCTAATCTCCCAGAGAGCCAGAGATTTTAACTCTTGAGCCATGATGCTTCTGTCACTAAATTACTTGCTGCTTTCTCTCTGTTGCTGTTCCTTGTCATCTCTCTTGCATTAATTTTAAGGGGGAGGGGAGATGGTGGAGGAAGTGGGGCTGTGCTCCATTCATCAACTGCTTTCAATTTGTATTTAAATAAACAAATTTAAAATCTTTTGTTTTTTAGTACTTATTTCTGAGGAGCAGCCCATGCTGTTATGGATGGGGAAGGTGTATTTTACCCCTTACTCCTTGTCCAGAGATTCTTATGCCATAGTATGGAAAACCCTTTTGAAGCAGTTCTAGGGCATCTAGTTTTAACCAGGCTTTGGGTGGCAAAAGTGGATGGGGCTAACCTGTTAAGAGATTTCAGGTGGTGCAAAGCATATCTGATAGTCCAGTGGAAGTAGGCCTAGCTAAGCTACCATGCCTCAAACGTAGTTGAGAATCGTGGACCAGTTGGCTCAAATCCTTGTCAGGCTCAAGATAACTGAGCCATTTCCTGTATGCTTCCTTGGAAAGGGTTTTTTTTTTTTAAAAAGGGTGGGGTGGAAGAGACAGGAGAACATGACTCCTGAGGTTGAGAAGAGCACATTCATCTTCCCTTACTGCAGTGCTAATGCCAGTCTCTTTGCCTCCCAAAGTTATCGCAAGCTTCTGTAAGAATACAGGGCCTAGTCCTGGACTGCTAGAGCTTCTTAAAGAGAAACAAGTTGGTGAAAAATTCACCATCCTCCAATAAGCTTTAAAGGCAGATAGCATGGGAAAGATGAACACATCCAGTGTAAGGACAAAATAAAGACCACTCTGTGCTTTTAAACTGCTCTAACACATGCAGTGCTTTCCTAAACACCTATCACTATGCTTATTTGCAGTACCAACAGCAAAGCTAGACCAGCAGCTACAGTCAGGATCCCATGTGTGCTACTTATTTTCTAGAACAGAGTTCTATGTTTTCATTTATCAAAATTAGGTTGCTAGTCCTCATGCCTACAATGATAACTTTAAAAATATGAAGTGTCCCATTTATCTCTCTGGGTATTTAACTTTGAAGCCTAAAGATAACAATATCAGTACTTGACTATTTTACTGCTAATGACGATAGCAGAGCTGCTCTTCCCTTTAAAGGATCCAGATGCTGACAGGGATCCCTTTTAATCTGTTGTGACAAGGAATCTGGCTACAAAAGAGGGATATGAAATCATTTTTCTCAGCTACATTTGCGTAGAGTCAGTTTAACCCTCACCCCTTTGGCTGTTCATAAATTCATCCTTAGACTAGCCTGTTCAGGCCGAGGAAGTATTACTCCCATTTGCAGACAGGAACTAAAGTCAGAGAACAAATAACGTGCCTGAGGTCACATTAAGGTTGCAGAAGGGCTAGGACCCTAGGTCTCTGCTTCCCAGTCCTGTACCTCAGCCACACAGGCCCTCCTTTCTCAACAAACTTTATGGTAAAAATAAGTCTACTGCAGCAGATACTCTCAATAATGACACACAACTGTTATAAACAGACTTTAATTTAGCTATCAAAAGGAGAAGTCTGCAATAGACTCCTACTTAAAGAAACAGTTCCAGTAAAACAGGAGTTTACCCAATTTCTTTTCATCATATTGTATCTTGTCAGCATAGCCTCATCTAAACTTTAGATCTCCATAGCTGAATTTCTGTGTCTGCTGGGTCAAGGAGTTCAACCCTAATTTCCAGCTAGCAGAAGAGAAACCTTTAGCACCAGACATAACTAAGAGCTGCAGTGTTGACCTCTCATCAAATGAGGTGAGCTGTTTCCAAGGTATGTTAAACTAGTGTTCAACCTATCAAAAAGCCAACAGTTTAATAGAATGCAGCATAAAATATAAACTGACTTGACAGATTTTTTTTAAAGTGACCCATAGATACAGAAACTAAAACCCTTCCAATATTTTAATTTTACATCCAATCAAGCCTCCTGCTTGATGTAAGAACACAGAAGACGCTATTCTAGAAATATCACCATGGAATCTGGTTTTAGCCAGGAAGGAGCTGAGAGAGTCAGGTAAGACCACAGTCCCTAGCAGGTGTGACATGCTGGGGCATTACCCACAAAACAAGGACATCAGGATCTGTAAAACAAGAAAGCCTAACTTTAAGGTGCTGACACGTTATCCTGGCTATGTAGGGAACTCAACTCAGTTTAAAGATAATTATGATTTCAGTGTGCAGATCACCTTTCAAACCAGTCCCGCGCTATAGCAACCTACCTGGCCACGGTTCTTACTGGCACCCTCATCTGAGCACCTCACAATCTCTAATGTATTTATCCTCACAACACCCCTATGAGATAGGAGTGACAGGTATTATTTTATAGCTGGGGAACTGAGGCCCAGAGACACTAATTGACCTGGTCCCAATGAAAGTCTGTAGCAGAGCAGGAAACTGAACCTAGGTCTCCCACATCCCAGACCGGTGTTTGAAATACTGGATCACCCTCCCGCTAAGGAAGAGTACAGCCTTGGGTTGATACTCTTCCAAAAGTGATTTCAAACCAGTTTACTTAAATATTTGCTGCTGCTGCAAAAAAGGACACTAAAATAAAAGGCACTAATTTATTAGCAAGACTTCCACGAATTAAGAGTTTGAGTTAGTATGTTAAATAAGTTATAGGAAGGGGAGTCCCACAGGTATATGATTGTGAAAAATGACAATTCTCTAAAGTACAAATGTAAAAAAACCCCTTTTCCCTTCTCTCAATTCACAACTCTATCCCTTCCCCTCTGCTCCTCCTTATGTCCCACTACCATACCTCAGCCTGGTAATTAGCCAACAGCTCCAGTTTTATACATTTTGTCATTGCTCCAGCACAAGGCTTGTGCCTGGATTATAGGAAGATTTACAAAAAAGTCTGCATTTATAAAATACATCAGGAAGATGGCTTGTAAGATCCAATTTACAGAGGAATTAGATAAAACCAGAGGTCTCCAAGGTATTTTTGGTCTAACAAAACAATTCTCTGTGATCTAAACTGCAGCTATTAAAGGTGAAGGAGTCTGTCTGAGGAAGATCTGAGAGATGCCAGTTTCCCTTCAATCAGATCTGGAGCAGAATATGCTGCAGGAAGAGGATGGAATAAGAGCCAATTCTAGTTCCAGAGTTCTCCTATGGGCTTATTCTGAACCTCCTGCATGACCTCCTCAGTGAAAGACTTAATTTCATTATGCAACTCTTCAATGCTCTTCGAAGCATCAATTGTCTGTTTCCAAAATAAAAGCATTGTATTTAAAACATTTCTCAGTACCCAACACTTTCATTAGAGGAGAAAATAAGACAGTGAAGTGTTTAGACAGGGGAAGCCACTGACTGTCTTGGACTTATTTCCATCCTTTCCCCACTATATTAAACCTTTTACATCAGCTATGGCTATTCCAAATTCATGAATCAAGGAGAATAGTGAAGAATGTTGAATTTTACCTCTTGTGCACAATTTCTGTCCTGGAATTGGAAGAGACAGAAATTGAATGCAGCGAAGAACACCTAACGAGTGTGGAGTGGCATGAGGGAAAACAGACAGCTATTCATGAACAGGATTTGTTAGTGACAGAGGCTATTAGGCATTTGACCCAAGTTATTTTACAACCCCAGCTCTAAAGAAATCTCCTAAAGGATACAAATTTGACTATTATTTGGACAAAATGTTAATCTTTCACTGGGTGTGCAAAAGTTTTACTCTTGCTGGAGATGTGGGATGGGGATATGTACTCTCCAGCTGTTTTCTGAAACGTGAAGAGCTGAATTCAACAGAAATAATATGCTGCACTTGTATAGTGCTATCTAAGTGAGGATCCTGAAACATTAATGAATTAAGCCTCATCATACCCCTGTAAAGTATAAAAATAATATCCCCATTCTAGAGCTGAAAAAACTGGGACACACCAGTCTAGCTTAGCCTATCTTCCAATGCACCGCCCCTGTTACAGGAGACACTGTTTAACTCTGATTTCTATAAAGAAGGGTGGTCAAATAAAGGAAATCTACTGTCAAAGTGAAACACCAATGTGCTAGTATCTGTTAAACAGACATTCCAGACCACCATTAAGCCAGGAAATTATGGCGTTTTTGCAATTTGGAGCAAAACAGTTGAGTTTTAAAAGACAATCTGATGACTTTTTGCTCAAATTACTGCTCACTCATTGCTACAAATCTATGGTAATTGGTAAGGTCAACACATTTCCATGGCTTTAGACTATTTAGACAATGAGCAGAATGAAGTTAGCACTTGATGGATGAATTGTTACAAGATACTGATTTTGTTTCTTTATAAATGACCTAATCCTGGAACGCACAAGGTAGAGATGGAAACTGGCAGGTAAAAAATTCTCAGATCACTAAATCCACGGTTAACAGATGGATTTAGAGTTGAGCTGAGTGAACAATTCACAATAGTTTATCCAGCCTTGTTTTCTCCTCATCCACAAACAGATTGCAATTTCCTCAATGTATTTATTATTTGAAAGTATTCAACTTGCTTTTAAATCTACACTTGACTGTGAACAGTTCTCTGTGAGTGGCTGATATTCTATCCAGTGATCACTGTAATACCTTTAACAGCTTACATATTGACTTTATAAGAATATTCAGATGGATTTTCAAAACCATTTTAGGAACACTTGACACTATTTCAGGCTCTGTTCAGTGCTTAGAGTTGTTGTTCTGCAAAAACTGACATTTTGCTGATACTTGAGACTGGAACTCTAGCTGACCAGTAGATCCAGACCAAGGAAATGCAGGTCACCATCTGCATGAATGGGAAGTCAGGTTTTCAAGGCAGTTGAACATAATTAACCACATTTTTAAAAAAATACAGAATTTAACAGTAGTTTAATATCTGCTGAAATGATCACTTACTTTTTTGACCTAGTTTTATATCAACTTGATACCTTATTGTTCCAGTCATTCAAATGGTGAGTTGCAATTCCTGCATCCTAACTATATGAGAAGATCAAGATGGCATCTCCCTGTGACTGTGCTACACTGTAGCAGTTTTGTCTTCAATGTTTAATTTCAAGGATTAGAAAACCCTTTACATTATAGAACAGTTTTTCCTTGAAGTAGGCTCCAAAAGATAAAATCTTGAGAAGTTTAGTTTTAATTCATTGGCCCATCTACAGCCTTCCTGGAAGGTTATTCCCTTACCTTCCAGTTTAAAGTCTTGTCCTTTATCAGATGGTAATAGTTCTTTAAAACTTTCTCCTGGAAGGAGCTGTTCTCATAGCGTTCGTTTCCGAAGTCCCCTCGTTTTGCTGCCTCCAATGTGCTCAACTGAAGAAATAGGATCAAATCTGGCTTTGGGAGCCCTACATCAGGCTGTTTGCACCAATCCAAGGAGAAATTCTGTCCAAAGTGAGAAGGAGAAATAAATCGGAGATGGAAGAAAAATCAATGAAAATAAGAAAAAGCAGATCAACAAGAGACCAGAAGGAAAAGGACTTGGGGAAAATGAACAGCCACTGAAGAAGTACTACTAACAAGTGGACCAGATTCTCATTTGGTGTAAATCAATGTAGCTCCATTGACTTCAAAGGAGCTATGCCAATTTACATCAGCTGAGAATAGCCCAGTTTATGTGTACTAGAAAAGACACCCAAATACTTATGGCCTCATCATCAGAGGTGCTGTGCACCTGTAGCTCTCACTAAAGTCAACATGAACTACAGGTGCTCAGCACCTCGGCAAATGAGATCACAGACACTTAAACGCGGAGTCACTTTTTCAAATAATTACATGGGCCTTTTTAATGTCTATGTAGTTCTATCCAACAAATAGCTGCTTTTTCATGAAAAAACCTGAAACCACTCTGAAACCTTTACCAAAACAGTATTTCTATGCCCAGGCAGACAGTGTTAGAAAATGTATGGCTTGCCATGTTCACTGATCTAGCCAGAGAACATCTTTTAGAGCATCTTTGCTAATATAGTACTTATTTTTAAGAAAGGGGAAAAAAAAGTGATTCAAGAAACTACAGGCCTGTTAGTTTGACCTCAATTGTATACAAGGTCTTGGATCAAATTTGGAAAGAGTAAGTAGTTAAGGACATAGACGTAAATCGTAACTGGGATAAAACACAATATGTTTTTACAAAAGCTAGATCATGCCAGACCAACCTGATCTTTCTTTAAGATAACAGAATTTTTTTAGACAAAGGACATGTAATCTACCACTTCAGTAAGCTATTTGATACAGTTCCACATGGGAAATTATTAGTTACATTAGGGAAGATGGGGATTAATACAAGAATCTAAAGGTGGATAAGGAACTGGTTAAAGGAGAGACTACAACGCGTCATGCTGACAGGTGAACAGTCAGACTGGAGGGAGGTTACTAATGGAGTCCTGGGACCAATCTTATTTAACATTTTCATTCACGACCATGGCACAAAAAGTGGAAGTGTGGTAATAAAATTTCCAGATGACACAAAGTTGAGAGGTATTGCCAATATAGAGGAGGACTGGATTATCATACAGGAAGAATTGGATGATCCTGAAAACTGTAGTAATAGAAATGGGATGAAATTTAATAGTGCAAAGTCATGCACTTAGGAACTATAGATAAGAATTTTTGCTATAAGCTGAGGACTTATCAATTGGAATAAACAGGAGGAGGAGAACGGTCTTTGTGTATTAGTTGATCAAAGGATGACTATGAGCCGCCAATGTGATGCGGCTGTGCAAAAAGCTAATGCATCAGGCAAAGTATTTCCAGTAGAGATAGGCAGTGTTAGTACCATTATACAAGGCATCGGTGAGACCTCATCTAGAATACTGTGTGCAATTCTGGTCTCCCATGTGTAAGAAAGATGAATTCAAACTGGAACAGGTACAGAGACGGGCTACTAGGGTAATCAGAGGAATGGAGAACATACCTTACAGAGGAGACTTAAGGAGCTTGGCTTGTTTAGTATAACTAAACAAAGGCTGAGGGGAGATATGATTACTCTCTATAAATCCATCAGAGGGATAAACAGGAAGGGAGAGGAGTTATTTAAGTTAAAGGCCAATGTGGACACAAGAATATGTGGCTATAAACTGGCAATCAACAAGTTTAGGCTTGAAATATGCGAAGGTTTCTAACCATCAGAGGAGTGACGTTCTGGAACAGCCTTCCAAGGGGAGCAGTGGGGGCAAAAATCCTAACTGGTGTGGAGACTGAACTTGGTAAGTTTATGGAAGGAGTGGTATGTTGAGGTTGCCTATAACGGCATGTAGCTGTTTTGTGACTACTAGTAGCAAATATCTCCCAAGCCTGGAGATGGGACACTACTAGATAGGAAGGGCTCTGAGTTACCACAAAAAGAAAAGGAGTACTTGTGGCACCTTAGAGACTAACAAATCTATTTGAGCATAAGCTTTCGTGAGCTACAGCCACAAGTACTCCTAAGGTGCCACAAGTACTCCTTTTCTTTTTGCGAATACAGACTAACACAGCTGCTACTCTGAAACCTGAGTTACTACAGTGAATTCTTTCTCAAGAGTCTGGCTGGTGGGTCTTACCCACATGCTCAGGTTCTGCTTGCCATGTTTGGGGTCAGGAAAGAATTTCCTCCCAGGCCAGATTGGCAGAGACTCTGGGGATTTTTCACCTTCCTTTGAAGCATGGGTCACAGGTGACTTGCAGGTGTAAACTAGAGTAAATGGTGGATTCTCTGTAACTTGAAGTCTTTAAATCATGATTTGAAAACTTCAGTACCTCAGCCAGACATTATGGTTCTGTTATAGGAGTGGGTGGGTGAGGTTCTGTGCTCTGTGATGTGCAGGAGGTCAGACTAGCTGATCACAATGGTCCATTCTGGCCTTGAAATCTATGAGTTCCTGAAGATGGCAGAAAGTCAATTAGTTAAACCAGGTATCGGCAAACTTTGGCCCCCGGCGGGCCAGGCCGGTTTGTTTACCTGCTGCATCTGCAGGTTCCGCCGATCGCAGCTCCCACTGACTGCAGTTCGCCACTCCAGGTCAATGGGATCTGCGAGAAGCAGCAGCCAGTACATCCCTTGGCCCGTGCCGCTTCCCACAGCCCCCATTGGCCTGGAGCGGCAAACCGCAGTCAGTGGGAGCTGTGATCGGCCGAACCTGAGGACGCGGCAGGTAAACAAACTGGCCCGGCCTGCCAGGGAGCTTATCTTGGTGGGCCGTGGGCCAAAGGTTGCCGATCCCTGAGTTAAACCTACAAAGCTTTTGCCCCTCACTTACAAATATCAATCCTTTCATTAGTCTCCTTGAAGATTTCAGGGCTGGAGGCAAATTCTTAAATAGCCTCCAATTTCTCTGGGCTAGCAGAGCAGATGAAGGTCTTGAATGAACGACTCTTCTAAGCAGAAGTGAGTAGTAATTACCATAAATTAGGGCTGTCGAACGATTAAAAAAATTTATCGCGATTAATCGTGCGATTTATCACACTGTTAAACAATAGAATACCATTTATTTAAATATTTTTGGATGTTTTCTACATTTTCAAATACAGCGGACCCTCACTAGAACGCGCATCGCTATAGTGCGGATTCGCATATAGTGCGGTCGCAGCAATGGATCCCAAATTTAAATATTTAAAGTGGGATCCATGGTAATGCAGTCCCCGCGTTAACGTGGTCTCACGCATGGATCCTGCACCCCACGTTCTAGCGAGGGTCCAGTGTATGCGGATTTCAATTACAACACAAAATACAAAGTGTACAGTGCTCACTTTGTATTTATTTTTGATTACAAATATTTGCACTGTAAAAAACAAAAGAAACTATTTTTAATTCACCTAATATAAGTACTGTAGTACAATCTCTTTATCATGAAAGTTGAACTTACAAATGTCAAATTATGTACAAAAAAATAACTGCATTCAAAAATCAAACAATGTAAAACTTTAGAGCTGTCAAGGTTTTGCCCACTCTGAACTCTAGGGTACAGATGTGGGGACCTGCATGAAAAACCCCCTAAGCTTATTTTTACCAGCTTAGGTTAAAACTTCCCCAAGGTACAAACTATTTTACCTTTTGTCCCTGGACCTTATTGCTGCCACCACTGAGCGTCTAATAAATACAACAGGGAAAGAGCCCACTTGGAAACGTCTTTCCCCCAAAATTCCCCCAAGCCCTACACTCCCTTTCCTGGGGAAGGTTTGATAAAAAATCCTCACCAATTTGCATAGGTGAACACAGACCCAAACCCTTGGATCTTAAGAACAATGAAAAAGCAATCAGGTTCTTAAAAGAAGAATTTTAATTAAAGAAAAAGTAAAAGAATCACCCCTATAAAATCAGGATGGTAAATACCTTACAGGGTAATCAGATTCAAAACACAGAGAATCCTCTAGGCAAAACCTTAAGTTACAAAGAGACACAAAAACAGGAATATACATTCCATTCAGCAGAACTTATTTTATCAGCTATTTAAACAAAACAGAATCTAACGCATATCTAACTAGATTGCTTATTAACCCTTTACAGGAGTTCTGACCTGCATTCCTGCTCTGGTCCTGGCAAAAGACAACAGAGACAGAGAGAACTCTTTGTCCCCCCCTCCAGCTTTGAAAGTATCTTGTCTCCTCATTGGTCATTTTGGTCAGGTGCCAGCGAGGCTGTCTTAGGTTCTTAACCCTTTACTGGTGAAAGGGTTTTTCCTCTGGCCAGGAGGGATTTAAAGGTGTTTACCCTTCCTTTATTTTTATGACAAGAGCCTACAAGTCCACTCAGTCCTATTTCAGCCAATCGCTCAAACAAACAAGTTTGGTTACATTTGCAGGAGATAATGGTGCCCGCTTCTTGTTTACAATGTCACCTGAAAGTGCGAACAGGCGTTTGCTTAGCACTGTTGTAACCGGTGTCGCAAGATATTTACGTGCCAGATGCGCTAAAGATTCATATGTCCCTTAATGCTTTAACCACCATTCCAGAGGATATGCATCCATGCTGATGATGGGTTCTGCTCGATAATGATCCACAGCAGAGAGGACCGATGCATGTTCATTTTCATCATCTGAGTCAGATGCCACCAGCAGAAGGTTGATTATCTTTTTTGGTGGTTCAGGTTGTGTCATTTCTGCATCTGAATGTTGCTCTTTTAAAACTTCTGAAAGCATGCTCCACACCTCGTCCCTCTCAGATTTTGGACGGCACTTGAGATTCTTAAACTTTGGATCGAGTGCTGTAGCTATTTTAGAAATCTCACATTGGTACCTTCTTTGCATTTTGTCTAATCTGCAGTGCCTGTTCGTAAATCAAACAACATGTGCTGGGTCATCATCCGAGACTGCTATAATATGAAATATATGGCAGAATGCAGGTAAAACAGAGCAGGGGACATACAATTCTCCCCAAAGGAGTTCAGTCACAAATTTAATTAACACATTTTTTTTTTTTAAACGAACATCAGCAACATGGAATGGTGGCTGAAGCATGATGGAGCATATGAATGTTTAGCATATCTGGCACTTAAATACCTTGCAACACCGGCTACAAAATGCCATGCGAACATATTAAGGCACTTTCAGGTAACAGTGTAAATAAGAAGCGGGCACCATTATCTCCTGCAACTGTAACGAAACTTGTTTGTTTAAGCGATTGACTGAACAAGTAGTAGCACTGAGTGGACATGTAGGGTCTAAAGTTTTACATTGTTTTGTTTTTGAGTGCAGTTATATAACAAAAAAAATCTGCATTTGTAAGTTACACTTTCAGGATAGAAATTGCACTACAGTACTTGTATGAGGTGAACTGAAAAATATTATTTCTTTTGTTTATCATTTTTACAGTGCCTTTCCAATTAGACACAGACACTGCCTTTCTGTTCATTCACTCACCTCTTTGGCACTTGTGAAGGCCACCCCGGAAAAGGCGTACCTGTCCACCACTAGAGTGATGCCTTGATTTAATTTCTCTTTAATCAACGGCCTGAACAACAACAAAAAGAAGAGACACGTTACACTCCATTGTACCCAGGCAGAAATGCAAACAACTCAACACAGAGGACACAGTAGGTGGGCTCTTTTCAATTAGTTGATGCACTTTGCTATAGTGATCTCTAGCAACTGTAGGGGTTACAGCATTTTATCAGTCGAAGTGTGATTTTTGTTTTTAAGCTCTGTCACCCACAGTCTCTCAACGCTCTGAAAATCTCCTCCAACCTTGTTGCATCACTATCCTTCCAGCCAAGGAGGAATGGATGGGACTCTTTTCAGAGACAGACAGTTCTGCAGGAAGGGTGCTTGCTGTGGCTGCGGCTGCCTGAAACAATGCTACTTTCATCCTGCCCTTTATTAGGGCCTGAACAAATAACCTTCCATCGCCCAGTGTAAAAAGCAAGTTCCAGAGGCACAAACCCCAAGTCTCCTGCATGGCAATGCAGAGCACTAGTTCATCCAGTTAAATGACCTATGGAGAAAGTCAGAGCCAAGCTGAAAGTATCCACAGAATTGGGACCAAACGAGTGGTTTAGTTCAATTTTTCTATTTAGTGTAGCAGATACAATACAGGACTGTGTGTCTCTTGGGCAAGAAATCACTTGAACTTCATCCAAAATGGACAATAATGTGTCAAGACTCACTCATCTGTCTTCCATGCTGAGAATTCTGGCATGTTCTCAATCTGCTTGGCATTAGATAAGAATGAGCTACCACCACCCTCAGCAGGATCAGAAAAGCCTTTGGAAAATGCAGCTTTTAAAAAGTGAAACATATTTTCTATTTTACAGATTTCGAGCTAACAGCACCATTTTTCACAAATTTAAACCATTACACTTGAAAAGTCTGGTTTGGCTAAAACCCTACATCATTCTACCACTTTTATTGCACAAAAGGAGTAGCATCCAGGATGAACTGTCAATAGGAGATCATATTAAAGGCAGTACCCACTCTCTGTAATAAATAGTGTAGTGCATTCTTCCTCAAAAAGCAAGAGAGCTGAAGCTGAACTTGAAAAATGAAGGGAAGAACACCAGTTCTTTAAGAGCATCTCAGCAGCAAGAGATTTAGTGAGACTGCACTCTAAGGCTTCAATTCTGCAATTGGATCCATGTGAGAGCAGGGACTAAGAATGTTTTACCCTCTGATGCCAGGAAGCAGATATGGGGGCTGATCCTGAGATTTCTCACACTACATTAATTTCAACCGGAGTTAAGGGGCCTCAGCACATAGAAAATCAGGCCAGATCCTGTAACAAGCTCTCCATTGGTGGACCCCATGTATGCCCAGAGACCCACTGCAATCAACGGGCCTCCACACAAGTGCCAGTGTCAGCCTGCGGAGAGCTCACTGCAGCCTTGGGGCCTTATTTCAGTTCAAATGTAGGCACCAAAGTTTGGAAGTTTTAGCCTGGGGGAGTTTGTTCCAAAGAGGTGTTAAGCACCTGCTGCTCTCACTGAACTTCTAATGAGAGAGGCTCAGCATCAAGTCATAAGCTTGCAATAGCATTTGTTAGGTGGCAGAGCAGTGAACTGCTCACAAATGAGCAGTTCTTACATTTTCTTCTTATATATGGATGCTGAAGTAGAAAGCTGTCCCTGGGCCACTCCCGCCCCTCTTAAATCACTCAGAAGTTTTATCACAATTTCCCTTGATCAAAGTTCAGGGAGTATGACTCAATCAGAAGTCCTAGGGACTAGTCAGAATCATGTTGAATATTGTTAACCATGAATTTTATCATCATACAGGACAGTCGCATAATACATGATTTAGAAGGGAAATGGCATTTTTTAATTGTATGAAAAACACAGAATCCATGCCCTAGCTCCTTACAACCATGCCACTTATGCCAAGCTCCACTGGGAGAAGCTGTGGTTCTCTGTGGCTGCCACAGAGTCACATTTACTCACTCAGTGCTCTCCTCTGAGCTCAATCCACCCTGTGATTGTTGCTGTTCCCTCTGCTTAAGAACAGGCAGAGGAAATACAACAGACCTGGTAACATTAAAGAAATATTCCCACATCACAGGCAGGCATCTGGCCCCCCCCAAAAGATTAATAGACTAGATCAGGGATTCAGAACAGATGCTCTGGTCAGAACACAGGCAAGTTATCCCCATAGTTTAGAGGGCTATATACATAAACTACAAATCAAGAAATCATGGGAACCCAAGATTAAGAATACCTGTGTGAGAAATCTAAATCAGTCTTGTTGGTATGGCAAATTCAGAGCTGGAGAAAAGCTCCACATCAGTCTCTGTGCCTTCAGCTACAACATTAGGAAAAGCATGACGTCTTTTTTAATTTTAGCATTAATTAATTTAGTGTTCATAAAGTGATGGATTTCTAGTTCTAGCCTAATTCAAGATGATGCTAGCAGATGTTTTGGTACACCTCAATCCTAACTTAAGATACTCTTAATATTGTTCCAGGCTGCTCTTAAGAATGCCGATCAGATCATACTGGGAGATGACTCTGTGATACACACAGAAGTGGTAGGAGGAGGAGACTACCAAAACCAAATTCTCTTTCACCTATAGTTGAGCTTTTAACTATGATTTCAAGAGATTAACAAGGTAACATGTTAATCCACTGTGTGATGGAGTCTCCTAAAACCTCATGTAAGGTTTAAGGTCTTTTTCTGCAGCCACGTAAGGAGAGCAGCTGAGAAGCGGAAAGTCACATCCTCACCTTCCTTTTAAGTTATATCAAAACAATGTAATATTGGGCTGTTAAGAAGGCACCCCTACTAATAGTACCCACCAAAGAATCTCTTAAGATGTTTAAAGAAAATTTTGTTTGACAACATTCTGTCTGGCAAGGAATCACTTATCAACAGTTTGGGTATGAAATCTCTACTTCTTTATTGTTTTGCCTTCAGGATCCCTACTTCTCTATTGTTTAATCTGTTATATAACTAATTTTGCTAGGTGTAAATCAACTATGGTGGTGGGGTGTGATTGGTTAAAGATATTTTCATAATGAGCTAGGATTGGTGAAAGATACAGTTTTAGAGTACTTTAGTTTAAAATGATTGGTTAAGGCACAGCTAAGCAGGATTCAAGTTTCACTATATAGACTGGGGTCCAAAAGGAAGTTCTTTGGAACCAACTCCAGGACACAGCCCCAAGATCAGAGCTGCCAGATCTCAACAGCCTGCCAATCACACCATGCAGAAGCTGCAGTCCCCGGGTGACCTGATCCTGACTGGCCATCAGGAAAAGGAGGAGACTTCTTGGGAGTGGTGTGCATTGTATTCTTAGCATGTGCATTCTGTTTTGGTGATTGTTAATAAATAGAGGTTAAGGATATTGCTGTGTAAGGCTCTTTCACGAATAAATGACCATGCAAACCCACAGAAGAGTATGCTCTGAGCCCTAGGAATTGGGTATGGATGGCCCTGAGCCCTAGGAACTGGCTAAAGGTAGGTGCCTTTTGCCTGGAGCCCTAGGAACTGGGAAAGGGTTGAGGTGCCTAAGTCAACTGGATTATGCCTTGAGCCCTAGGAACCGGGTGAAGGTGAATGCCCTAGAGTGTGCAGGTAATAAATCTGGTGGAGAATGCAGGCATCCTATGGTCATTTAGACTGAACTGATAGAGCTTCACACAGTGAATAATTGTAGAAAAGTAATAGCAGCAGAATACCTGTGCATTTTGTCAATAAGGGTCGCTACCTACTTGACAGAATGACCATTCTGAAGCTTCAGGAGGGAACAACGCAAAAGAAAAGGAGCAGGAGAGGTGAGGGTTAGCTGAATAGCCCACCTTCCTTGCTAAATGGGTAGCAGAACAAGGTCCGTGCCCATGGGGACAAGATTCTTTCCAGGGGAGGGATGTCCTTGAGTCTGCCTGTAAGGGGTTTAAAGTAGGGCTGTTGATTAATCACAGTTAACTCACATGATTAACTAAAAAAAATTAAATTGCGATTAATTGCACTGTTAAACAATAGAATACCGACTGACATTTATTAAATATTTTTGATGTTTTTCTACTTTTTCAAATATATCGATTTCAATTACAACACAGAATACAAGTGTACAGTGCGCACGTTATATTATTTTTTATTACAAATATCTGCATCGTAAAAAAATATACTATATTTTTCAATGTACCTCATACAAGTACTGTAGTGAAATATTTTTATCATGAAAATGCAACTTACAAATGTAGAGTTTGTTACATAACTGCACTCAAAAACAAAACAATGTAAAACTTTAGAGCCTACAAGTCCACTCAGTCCTACTTCTTGTGCAGCCAATTGCTAAGACAAACAAGTCTGTTTACATTTACCGGAGATAATGCTGCCCACTTCTAAATTACATCACCTGAAAGTGAGAACAGGCTGTCACATTGCACTGTTGTAGCTGGCATTGCAAGATATTTACGTGCAAGATGAGCTAAAGATTCATATGCCTCTTCCTGCTTTGGCCATCGTTCCAGAGGACATACTTCCATGCTGATGACGCTTATTAAAAAAAAAATGCATTAATTAAATTTGTGACTTAACTCCTTGGGGAAGAATTGTATGTTTCCTGCTCTGTTTTATCCACATTCTGCCATATATTTCATGTTAGAGCAGTCTCGGATGATGACCCACCACATGTTGTTCATTTTAAGAACATTTTCTCTGCAAATTTCACAAAATGCAAAAGAAGATACCAATGTGAAATTTCTAAAGATACCTACAGCACTTGACCCAAGATTTATGAATCTGAAGAGCCTTCCAAAAATCTGAGAGGGATGAGATGTGGAACACGCTTTAGAAGTCTTAAAAGAGCAACACTCTGATGCAGAAACTACAGAACCCACCAAAAAAGAAAATCAACCTTCTGCTGGTAGCATCTGACTCAGATGATGTAAATGAACATGCATCGGTCCACACTTCTTTGGATCGCTATCGAGAAGAACCTGTCATCAGCATGGACGCACATCTTCTGGAATGGTGGTTGAAGCATTAAGGGACATAAGAATCTTAAGTGCATTTGGCATATAAATATCTTGCGACAACGGCTACAACAGTGCCATGCAAATGCCTGTTCTCACTTTCAGATGACATTGTAAACAAGAAGCAGGCAGCATTATCTTCTGCAAATGTAAACAAACTTGTTTGTCTGAACAATTGGCTGAACAAGAAGTATGACTGAGTGGACTTGTAGGCTCTAAAATTTTACTTTTTATTTTTGAATGCAGGTTTTTTTTTTTTTAACATAATTCTACATTTGTAGGTTCAACTTTCATGATAAAGAGATTGCACTATAGTACTTGTATTAGGTGAATTGAAAAATACTATTTCTTTTGTTTTTTTAAGGTGCAAATACTTGTAGTCAAAAATAAAGTGAGCACTGTACACTTTGTATTCTGTGTTGTAATTGAAATCAATATATTTGAAAATGTACAAAACATCTACAAATATTTAAGTAAATGGCTTAAGTAACTTACTTAAGTAAGTAAGTTCTATTATTGTTTAATCGCGCGATTAATTGTGATTAATTTGACAGCCCCTTAACTTGACAGCCCTAGTTTAAAGCATTTTGTAAATGCATGAAACCAAAACCAAAGAAAAAAGGCTAACAAAGCAACAGCAGTATGGGCATTATGGAAAGCTGTCACTAATCTTTCCAGCCTGGTAACACTCCAGGAAAGACAACTGGAGGATTACAAATTTGAGTTGGATATAGTTAAGGATAATTTGGCTCAGTATACGGCAACGTAGTGTACCAGTGCAGCTTCAGCATTACAGAATGCAACAGCTCTATACGCAAAAAACAGGAGAGTGTGAACATTTAAAACTGAAAGTAGAAAACCTGAATGGGGAAATATCTACATTGCACATGAAACTGGGGGACATTCAGGCAGCTGTCAGAACAGTGTTATAAGAAAATACAGTAACTCCTTACTTAAAGTCGTCCCGGTTAACGTTGTTTCGTTGCTGACCAATGAGAGAACATGCTCGTTTAAAGTTGTGCAATACTCCCTTATAAAGTCGTTTGGCAGCCACCTGCTTTGTCCACTGCTTGCAGGAAGAGCAGCCCGTTGGAGCTAGCTGGTGCAGGCTTGGAACCAGGGCGGACCGGCAGCCCTCCATAAGCTCGCCACTCCCCTAAGTTCCTTGTGCAGCAGCTGCCCAGCAGGCTATCAATTGCTGGCAGTTCAGCTGTCCCTCCCCCACACTGCCGTGTGCTGCTCCTGCCCTCTGCCTTGGAGCTGCTCTTGGAAGCCTCCTGCTTGCTGTGCGGGGGGAGAGAGAAGGGGACTAATGGCAGGGTGTCCCCCTGCCCCCTACTTACCCCATCTCCATGGGGGGGGCACGACACAACAGGGCTCAGAATGGAGGGAACTTCCTGGGAGCAGCTGCTGTCTCAACTTGCTGATCTACTTAACAAGGCAGTGTACTTAGAGTGGAGTCAGCCTACTTAAAGGGGCAATGCACATCTCTATCTTTCACACACAGGGTGTGTGTCTCTGTCTGCCATGCTGTCTCCCTTCCCTCCATTCGTGCTGCCTTGTAGAGTGTGAGGCTACATTAACAACAATGGGTAACCCTTGAGGACTCAGCCAGAACCTAGTTCATCATTTAGCAGTAAGACGTTCCCTGGGAAATATCCCACTCTCTTCCACCTTCTGACTTCACCACCTCAACCAAGCTTCACGATCATCATCGCTGTGTACAGTTTGTTTAAAACTTGTACTGTGTGTATATGTATGTGTATATACACATACACACAGTATAAGTTTTAAACAAACAATTTAATGTGTATATAATATAGTCTTCTGTCTGGTGAAAAAAATTTCCCTGGAACCTAACCCCCCCCATTTACATTAATTCTTATGGGGAATTGGATTCACTTAACATCATTTTGCTTAAATTCGCATTTTTCAGGAACATAATTACAAGGTTAAGCGAGGAGTTTCTGTAAGGCTCGGGCCCGGATAAGCAGTGACCAGGTATGGGTGGCTGCTCAGCTTCTCAGCTTTTTGGTGGGCAGCCTCCTGGGCTTTTTTTGCCTCCATAGCTTTCTGATGTGTAGCCTCCTGGGCTTTTTCTGCCTTTTTTGCTGCCTTGATTTTTTTTTTTTTTTTTTGGCTTCCAGTCTAGCTAACTTCAGCCTCTGTTTGGTCTTGCTTTTGGTCATCCTAGCCCCTCTGTTTTTAACCTAGCTATTCCTAAGAGTTAGAAAGAAAAAAAAAAAAAACCCTGGCTTGTAAAATTTTTCTGTGCTGTAACCTGATAACTTTTGTCTCTGATAGCTGTTCTCAGCTTACAGAAAAATTCTTTTGTTATGGAGATGCTCTGTCCCCAGGCAAAGAGACAGAATAAACTAACTGCTTTTAGCTTAAAACCTGCTTTCAAGCAGTCCAAAGGGGGAAAAAAATTGTTCTTTTAAAATCCTACTGTGCTTCTGTTCAAAATGATCTTTGGTTCAAAATGATCCCACCGCTCTGCCACCATGTCAAGGTTCCTTCCCCACTCTGAATTTTAGGGTACAGATGTGGGGATCTGCATGAAAGACCTCCTAAGCTCATTTTTATCAGTTTAGGTTAAAAACTGTACCAAGGTACAAACTTTGCCTTGTCCTAGAACAGTATGCTGCCACCACCAAGCGTTTTAAACAAAGAACAGGAAAAGAGACCACTTGCAGACGTCTTCCCCCAAAATATTCCCCCCCCCCAAACCCTACACCCCCTTTCCTGGGGAAGGCTTGATAATAATCCTCACCAATTGGTACAGGTGAACACAGATCCAAACCCTTGGATTTTAAGAACAATGAAAAATTAATTAGGTTTTTAAAAGAAGAATTTTAATTCAAGAAAAGGTAAAAGAATCACCTCTGTAAAATCAGGATGGTAAATACCTTACAGGGTAATCAGATTTAAAACATAGAGAATCCCTCTAGGCAAAACCTTAAGTTACAAAAAGACACAAAAACAGGAATATACATTCCCTCCAGCACAGCTTATTTTACAAGCCATTAAACAAAAGAAAATCTAACGCATTTCTAGCTAGATTACTTACTAACTTTACAGGAGTTGTAAAGCTTGCATTCCTGATCTGTTCCCGGCAAAAGCATCACACAGACAGACAGAACCCTTTGTTCCACCCCCCTCCAGATCTGAAAGTATCTTGTCCCCTTATTGGTCATTTTGGGTCAGGTGCCAGTGAGGTTACCTTAGCTTCTTAACCCTTTACAGGTGAAAGGGTTTTCCTCTGGCCAGGAGGGATTTTTATAGCACTGTATACAGAAAGGTGGTTACCCTTCCCTTTATATTTATGACATATGTCATTAAAAAGGAGATACTGGCCATAACTGCCGGGGTTGTGCCAATAGTAACTGGAATCCAGCCGGATTTCAATGCTTTAGCTTTTAAGACTGCATTGTTAGAGGGTTTGAATTCAAAAATGAAGGTGAATTTAGGACCCATAGATCCAGCTAGTGGGTACCCAGAGTTAAAACAGGACATTTTTTGAGCAGTTATAGTTTTTCAAGACACACTGGGACAACTGGAAAAAGGAATTGACAGGAGAATGGAACCTATCCAGGTGGTAACTTTTGCCAACAACAGGCCCCCAGATCTCCAAGGGGAAACAGGGGAAAAGGGGCCCGATGCACAATGGCATGTTAGAGGAAGAGAATAGGGAGATGCAAGAGACAGCAGAGGAGCAAAAGGAAGAAATGGATATGGGTATGCAGAATAGAGGATATATGGCACTGAGAATGAAGGCATGGAGAAAGCTCATGATGTCATGAGAACCAAAAGAGAAATGGGATGGCAAGCCCACAAGTGAGTTATTGTAGAGGGTTGTCCAGTTAGAAAGGCAAGAGGAATTGACTGACAGGGCTTCTGTAACTCTCATAATGGACCCTGTATCATTGGTGCCACCCCAGTAGTGGTGCCCACCTCCTTGGACTTCCCCTGAGGTAGTAGCCCAACTACAGTATGACAAATGGGGGTGTCCCATTGTAGGGGCAATAACAGGGAGATTTGGGAAACAAACATGCCCCACAATGTTAATTCACACAGGTGCATTGGTATGTGTGCTTGGAGAGCAGTGGCTTCCCAGGAATGCTTTGGAAACCGAAAATTCAACACAACTAATATCATATACAGGGGAGACAATGAAAGCATTTCTCACAAGACCATTCCTGACCTGCGTAGGAAATCAGGAGTCATGGGTAAAATATTTTTTTCAGAAGCAGGATCAAATTGGGAATGGGGCTGCCTAAATCAACCAAGTTATGCCTTGAGCTCTAGGAACTGGGTTAAGGTGGGTGCCCTAAAGTGTGCAGGTAATACTCAGGATTCAAAGCTGTGCACATTACTTTAAAACTCAAAAAGAATTATATTTACACTTGTTCCCAGCGGTTAGCAGAGAAAAGCAGATGCACTGTGTGGTCCTCCAAATTGCTCTTGTTCTCCAAGTAGGAGCTAATTAGCTGCCCAATTTCTGTTGTTCTGTCTGTAAGAAAGAGTACAAGGACAAATCTGGTGAGTTATGCAGTCTCCTGCTTCAGTTACTGTGCAATATGATTTAAGATTTACTCAATGTACAAATTCCATGGAACAAATATTTTAAACCCAAAACTAAAACCAGTCACGCTTGGACATACATGCAGCTGTTCTGAAAATCCAAGTGTTCAATTTTTTAAAATTGCTATGCAAAGAGAATATTCAAGTTGCAATATAAACAAACCAAAAACCAGGAGGTACCATAATATGGGAAGCACAACCTCAATGGCAGAGTAAAAATAAAAGGGACAGAGAGGAGTAAATGCACTCAATGTAGGGAAACATGACAGAAAAGCCATGTGAACTGGCCTTTCTAGTGCGGCAATACATTTCCACCCCAAAGGATTCACTGTGACAGTCAAGGGACCATGCAACGCCACAGCTGAGAATGCAGCTAACGATATTGGTGTTATATTCCCCCAATGTTTTCAGTAGCCTTTCCCCAAGTGGAGGGGGGGCACGTCCCAGGACAAAGCAAACACTAGCCAAGAGTGTGAATGGGTACAGAAGAAGTATACCTTTAAGATGACTAGACATGGCAGGCATAAAAAGGGGGGCAAGACACAGCACCATTGGTTTTATTTTCCTGAACGGAAGGCTAGCTTTCAAACTTTGGGGAACACTGCTCACTGGAAAGCCACAGCAATCACCAGCCATTGGTGTGCACCTCTCAGGGCCCCCCACTCCTTGCTAAATGGGTGCCCCACCCTGCATCAGTGGAGTTAATGTTGCTAACGCCTCCCCTGACTTCCCCACTCCCGTCAGTGGGGCTAGTGGCGTCTCCCCCATCCATGTCACTGTGGTTGGCGGTGACCCCTATGTCATGGCGGTAACTGTACCGCACCCTCCTATATCATAGCGGTAACCGTGCCCCACCCTCCCCTCCATGTCACGGGTGTTGGCAGTATTCCCCCCATTACAGGGGTCAGCGTTTCCCCCCCACTTCCCTTTCATGTTACTTGGATTGGTGGTGTCCACCCACCTCTAGTATCTCTCATATCACGGAGATGGGTGGTAACCCCCACCTCCCCTCCCTTCCAAGTCACAGGAGTAACGGTGCCCCCAGACCTCCCCAGGGTTAGGGCCAGGCTCCCCCCATACCCGGGAATCGCAGGAGCTCGGCGAGGTGCCCAGATTCCCGCAACGCTTCCACCAGCCTCCGGCTCTGCGTGGTCTTCCCGGTCCGGTCCACCCCCTCCAGCACCACCAGCGCCCCGCGTCTGCAGGCCATGGCCGTAGCGGCCCGAGCCACAACCGTTACCAACCCCGGCGACACAGGCACGAGAAGGGGGAGCATCCCACTTCCGGCGAACCATAGAGAGCCGCACGGGGACAGTCTAGACAGCAAAGACTGCCGCAGGCCTCCAAATCAGCCAAGGCGGAGCTCCGCCCGCTGCTCCACCCCATCTGTCTAGCGCCGCCGGGGGGGCAAGACCGCACGAGGGGCGGGACGCAGGGTTTACCTAGAGTACCTGCCTATCGGCAGCTACACGGGAGAAGGCCCACTGGCGCCGGGGGCTCTGTCCTTAGACGGAGGGCTGTGGGGGAGACACTGTTGCGGCCCCGTTGCTCTAGACTGGGGTGGGGGAAGAGTTACTGGCTGTCACTGTCCCGGGCCGGGGGGGGGGGGCGGAGAGGCTGTCACTGTCCCGGGCTGTGGCTGGGTGTGTGAGAGGCTGTCACTGACCCCGGGGTGGGGAGAGGAGAAGCTGTCACTGCTCCTGAGGGGGAGGGGTTAGAGGCGGTCACTGCCCCAGGCTGGGGGCTAGTTACAGGTTGTCATTGCTCGGGGCTGGGGAAGAGGGAGGCTGTCACTTCCAAGGGCGGGGCGGGCTACAGGCTAGCACTGCCCAGGGCAGGGGTGGAAAAGAGGCTGAAGGGAAGGTGGGTCTGCATGAGAGAAGGCTAGTGGCGCGCACATGCTGGTACCACCTCCCAGTCCCTGGGTGATACCTGCCCCTTCCTGCTTTAGCGCCTATGCCGTTGCCCCGCCTCCTTATTGATATACAGCTGGCGGTGTCCCGGGCGGCCAATCAGCGGCGGCAGCTCCTGAATATGGAATGAGGCCGGGGCTGCGGCCCTTGTCATGCGGGCCCGAGCGACCGGGTAACAACGCGGCAGGGAGCGGGACACAAGATGGCGACAGCCATGTACCTGGAGCATTATCTGGACAGTGAGTGGCGGGCCCGGCGCGGTGAGCGGGGCGCCAAACCCCCTTTGGAAGGAGAGGGAATGGGGACAGGCGCCAGGGACGGGGCGCCTGCGGAGGGAGGGTCCCCAAGGCGGGGCGGGTGGGGGTACTGGAAGGGGGGAGTGGAGGCGGTGACACCGCCCAGCTTGGGAGGGGTGGCCCTTGGAGCGAGTGCTGTTGTTACCGCAGCTGGCTGCGGGAATTACAACTGCGTCACTTTCCTGCGGGGGGCGTGGTCTTGTGTGCGTCATCAACCGCGTCTCTGGCTTGTGTCATCTTTAGGTGCGGAGCGCGGGAGTAGTTCAATCTGTTCTCTTTAGTGCCCCTCCCTTGTTCTGGGCGCCGCTGTTTGTTCTCTGGACTGCCCCTCCCTGCCCCAGGAGCCTTCCCATCCCCAGGGTGCTGACACCCACACCGTGGCTGCCTCAGCTCTCCTTCCTTTCTTTATGGATAGGGACCAACCAAATTCATGGCCATGAAAAATGTATCACAGACTGTGAAATCTTGTCTCCTGCTGTGAAATCTGATGTTTTGTGTGCTTTTAGTCTACTCTACACAGATTTCATGGGGTACAGCAGCATTTCTCAAATGGCGGGTCGTGACCCAAAAGGGAGTTGCAGGGGGGTACATAGTATTGCCACTCTTACTTCTTCACTGCCTTCAGAGCTGGGCAACCAAGAGAGCAGCAGCTGTTGGCTGGGCAACCAGCTCTGAAGGCAGCTTCCTGCCAACAGCAGCACAGAAGTAAGGGTGCCAATACCATACCATGCCACCCTTACTTCTGTGCAGCTGCCTTCAGAGCTGGGCGGCCAGAGAGTGGCGGCTGCTAACTGAGGGCGTAGCGCTGCACGCTGCAGCGCAGAAGTAAAGGTGGTAATACCATGCCGTGCCAGCCTTACTTGTGCGCTGCTGCCGGTGGCAGTGCTGCCTTCAGAGCTGGTCTCCCAGCCAATTGCCACCAGTCTACAGCTGCCACCAGTCTACAGCAGTACTGTAACTCCCCCTACAATATTCTTGTGACCCCCCCACACACACCAACACTCCTTTTTGGATCAGGATCCCTAGAATTACAACCTTCTGAAATTCAGATATAAATAGCTGAAATCATGACATTTATGATTTTTTAAATCCTATGACCATGAAATTGACAAAAATGGGCTGAATTTGATAGGGACTTACTTACGGGGCTGCCCTTGTTCCCCAGCTCCCCCTCCCCATGGGGACTGCCACAGCTTCCCCAGCCTATGGGGGGGCTTGTTATGTTGTGGTATGCAGTCCACACCATTGAAGAGTTGTCACCTCTTATTCTAAAACCTTAAGTTCCTTAAAGGTTTACCACTGTAGCTTTCTGGCTGGGATGCCCACAGTCAGCAACAAGCATGCTCCCTGTGTCTCTGTGTTGGGCAGCCCTGGTCCAATGCTTTGAATCCAGGAGTCTGGCTACAATACCAGACTTCCACCAGCATTGGTTAACAACTGGTAAGGTGATGCAACACTCTCCCCAGTCCCAAATTTCTCTAGAAATATGTGTTCTAAAATACCCAATCCTGACCTGGAATAATCGAAGGAATGGTAAGGTTTGTTGCTCTTTTGAAGAGTCAGTATCCAACAGTTTGTTACTTTAAGTAGTTACCAAACAGTTCAGTTCAACAGCAATGGGTTGATTTAGATTAAAAATAAAACAAGAATGCAAGTATAAGAACTAAAGTCAGAAATGGTTACAAAAGAAATAAAGATAAAACATTTTCTAGTAACTAAAATCTAACAAGCTTGGTTCCAGGTAAAATCCTCACCACATTTCCGTCAAGATGGCTGACCAAATCCCTGCGTCAGACTCTATCCCCCAAAGTCAAAGGGCTGGTATCTTTGGGCAAGTCCACACTATCAAATTAAGTTAACCAAAGTGATGTACAACCATAAACAGAAATTGAATCAGTTTTACACGTCCACATTGTGTTCCTTGTGTCAGCTGAGCGCACCCTCACCAGGAGCGCTTGCGCTGATTTAACTGCCAATGTGGGGCATTGTGGGATGATTTCTGAAAGGCAGCAACAGTCAATGTAAGCAACACAGTGTCTACGCTGATACTGCATCGACGTAACTACATTGACTTAAGCGTTATTCTTCTCGCAGAGGTGGAGTTATTAAGTAGGGCAAGTTACATTGTTGGGAGCTACATTTTAGTGTAGATGTGTAGAGTTAGTTTGATGTAAGCTGCCTGAGTCTTCTTTGGTGAAAGATAGATAACTTGTGGGTTGTTCCTCTTTTATAGTTTAGTGAACCTTTGAAATAGATTCTTCCACTATATAAAGTTCATTCAAGCAGTGAGGAAGGCAACATGCAGTCTCCTGTGGCTCTGTGGATGAGGGGAAAGCAGTCGACGTGTTGTTCCTTGACTTTAGCGAAGCTTTTGATATGGTCTCCCACAGTATTCTTGCCAGTAAGTTAAAGAAGTATGGGCTGGATGAATAGACGATAAGGTGGATAGAAAGCTGGCTAGATTGTTGGGCTCAACGAGTAGTGATCAATGGCTCCATGTCTAGTTGGTAGCCGGTATCAAGCGGAGTGCCCCAAGGGTCGGTCCTCGGGCCAGTTTTGTTCAATATCTTCATTAATGATCTGGAGGATGGTGTGGATTGCACTCTCAGCAAAAAGAAAAGGAGTACTTGTGGCACCTTAGAGACTAACCAATTTATTTGAGCATAAGCTTTTGTGAGCTACAGCTCACTTCATTGGATGCATACTGTGGAAAGTATAGAAGATCTTTTTATACACACAAAGCATGAAAAAATGGGTGTTTACCACTACAAAAGGATTTCTCTCCCCCCACCCCACTCTCCTGCTGGTAATAGCTTATCTAAAGTGATCACTCTCCTAACAATGTGTATGATAATCAAGGTGGGCCATTTCCAGCACAAATCCAGGGTTTAACAAGAACGTCTGAGGGGGGGGGGTAGGAAAAAACAAGGGGAAATAGGTTACCTTGCATAATGACTTAGCCATTCCCAGTCTCTATTCAAGCCTAAGTTAATTGTATCCAATTTCCAAATGAATTCCAATTCAACAGTCTCTCGCTGGAGTCTGGTTTTGAAGTTTTTTTGTTGTAATATCGCAACTTTCATGTCTGTAATCGCGTGACCAGAGAGATTGAAGTGTTCTCCGACTGGTTTATGAATGTTATAATTCTTGACATCTGATTTGTGTCCATTTATTCTTTTACGTAGAGACTGTCCAGTTTGACCAATGTACATGGCAGAGGGGCATTGCTGGCACATGATGGCATATATCACATTGGTGGATGTGCAGGTGAACGAGCCTCTGATAGTGTGGCTGATGTTATTAGGCCCTGTGATGGTGTCCCCTGAATAGATATGTGGGCACAGTTGGCAACGGGCTTTGTTGCAAGGATAGGTTCCTGGGTTAGTGGTTCTGTTGTGTGGTATGTAGTTGCTGGTGAGTATTTGCTTCAGGTTGGGGGGCTGTCTGTAGGCAAGGACTGGCCTGTCTCCCAAGATTTGTGAGAGTGTTGGGTCATCCTTCAGGATAGGCTGTAGATCCTTAATAATGCGTTGGAGGGGTTTTAGTTGGGGGCTGAAGGTGACGGCTAGTGGCGTTCTGTTATTTTCTTTGTTTGGCCTGTCCTGTAGTAGGTGACTTCTGGGAACTCTTCTGGCTCTATCAGTCTGTTTCTTCACTTCCACAGGTGGGTATTGTAGTTGTAAGAATGCTTGATAGAGATCTTGTAGGTGTTTGTCTCTGTCTGAGGGGTTGGAGCAAATGCGGTTGTATCGCAGAGCTTGGCTGTAGACAATGGATCGTGTGGTGCGGTCAGGGTGAAAGCTGGAGGAGGCATGTATGTAGGAATAGCCATCAGTAGGTTTCCGGCATAGAGTGGTGTTTATGTGACCATTGTTTATTAGCACTGTAGTGTCCAAGAAGTGGATCTCTTGTGTGGACTGGACCAGGCTGAGGTTGATGGTGGGATGGAAATTGTTGAAATCATGATGGAATTCCTCAAGGGCTTCCGTGGATCCAGATGATGAAGATGTCATCAATATAGCGCAAGTAGAGTAGGGGCGTTAGGGGACGAGAGCTGAGGAAGCATTGTTCTAAGTCAGTCATAAAAATGTTGGCATACTGAGGGGCCATGCGGGTACCCATAGCAGTGCCGCTGATTTGAAGGTAT